GGGGGCTATGGAGAATTAATGGGAAGAGAAGGGATTTAAAGGGATCTAAAATGGGGATAAAGTGGAAGTGGGTTTTTAAAGTTTGCTTTTTTGAAGGGGGTCCTGAATTATTTGGGGGGGGGGATCTTAAAGATATATTGTTACTGCTCCCCATAAAATGTTATATAGATATTATGAATTATTTGGGGGGGGGGATCTTAAAGATATATTGTTACTGCTCCCCATAAAATGTTATATAGATATTATCCAAATTTTGCATTGATTAGAATCTGGGATTTCTGAAATATTTGGGGGAGGGGTGTTAATTAAGATGGTGTAATAATAATGATGATGAAAGACTTTCCTGGGGGAAAATAATAATAATAATAATAATAAATAATAATAATGCATAATAATAATATATAATAAACAACTGGAAAAGCTGACACGATAGGAGGATTTAAAGATCGAACTGCAAAGACTCTGGCACAAGCCAGTCAAGGTGGCCCCAGTAGTGATCGGCACCCTGGGTGCAGTGCCTAAAGACCTTGGCCTGCACTTAAACACAATCGGCGCTGACAAAATTACCATCTCTCAGCTCCAAAAGGCCACCTTACTGGGATCTGCATGCATTATTCGCCGACACATCACACAATCTTAGACACTTGAGAAGTGTCTGACATGTGATCCAATACAACAGCCAGCATAGTGACTTTGTTTGCTGTGTATTAATCTTGTTGTGTTTCAAATAATAATAATAATAATAATAATATATAATAGTAATAATAATAGTAATTATGTGTGTGTGTGTTAGTGATAGTGATAGTGATAATAACAAAAGCCTTTCGTGGGAGAAAATAATAACAGTAATAACAATAATAGTAATAATAATAATAATAATATATTATTATTATTATTATTATTATAGTAGTAGTAGTAGTAATAATTTGTAATAATAATAATAATGAAAGCTTTTCCTGGGAGAAAATAATAATAATAGATAAATAGGTACCGCTTTCGTGGGAAGGTAACAGCACTCCATGCAGTCATCCTGGCCAGAGGACCTTGGACGGACAACGCCGGCTCTTCGGCTTAGACATGGAAATGAGCACCAACCCCCAGAGACGGATACAACTGGACTTCATGTCGAGGAGAAACCTTTACCTTTGGCTTAATAATAATAATAATAATAATAATAATAATAATAATAATGTTATTGTTATAGTTATAGTAATAACAACAAATGCATTTCCTGGAAGAACATAATGTCTTCTGATGACGTCTGGCGGGGACGAGAGACAGGGCCTTCTCTGTGGTGGCCCCTCGGCTGTGGAACTCCCTGCCTAGGGATATTAGATCAGCCCCCTCCCTTCTGACCTTTCGAAAAAGAGTAAAAACTGATCAGCCCCCTCCCTCCTGACCTTTCGAAAAAGAGTAAAAACTTGGCTCTTCGAGCAAGCATTCAGAACCTCGGGATAAATAGACAAACCCGAATCAGAAAATGACCCAGGAACGGCCAAGACGATGGAACGGATGAGGATTTGAATGAAAGGACGTAGTTTTTAAAATTGTTATTATGCACTGTCTTTATGTTTAAATGTACTATAATGTTTCTTTTTTTTTTTTTTTTGCTTTATCAATGTATGTATTTTTTATGGCATCGAATTGTGCCGACTATGTATGCCGCCCTGAGTCACCTTCGGGCTGATATGGGCGAGATAGAAATAATGTAAATAAATAAATAATGGTCTGGAACCTCCCCCGCGGCCACTCCTGGGAGTGCACGACTCCAGTCGTTGTGCCCGCAGGTTCATTGGAACACGCAAGCCCCCTCACCATGACAAGGTGACAGTCCATTGAGGGGGAATAATAATAATAGTAATAGTAATAATAATATATATTTTTTGGTCATGTCAGGAGCGACTTGAAAAACTGCAAGTCGCTTCTGGTGTAAGAGAATTGGCCGTCTGCAAGGACGTTGCCCAGAGGACGCCCGGATGATTTGATGTTTTTATCATCCTTGTGGGAGGCTTCTCATGTCCCCGCATGAGGAGCTGGAGCTGACAGAGGGAGCTCATCCGCCTCTCCCCGGATTTGAACCTGCGACCTGTCGGTCTTCAGTCCTGCCGGCACAGGGGTTTAACCCACTGCGCCACCGGGGGCTCCCATAATAATAATAATAATAATAATAAGTAATAATAGTTATAATAATAATAACAAACGTCTTTCCTGGGAGAAAATAATAATAAAAACAATAATAATATATAGTAATCACTATAGTAATAATAATGAAAGCCTTCCTGGGATAAAATAATAATAACAGCAATAACAATAACAACAACAAGAATAATATATAATAATAGTAATAAAAATAATATATTATAATAGTAATAATAAGAAAAGCCTTTTCTGGCAAAAATAACAACAACAACAATAATAATATATAATAATTTAAAATAATAAAATTAGTGGTGGTAATAATAATAATAATAATAATAATAATAATAATAACAAAAGTCTTTCCTGGCAGATAATCATCATCATCATCATATCTGCCAGGAAAGGGTTAACCCCCTAAATTGAAAGGGTTAATTCTTAGCCCCAAAATGTATATTTCCAGAGACCAAAGTTCGAAAAACCTGGAGCTTTACAAAGCTAAAGGTTAACCAGCTTGGATTCTAGTATTTTTTGGATGAGGAAAGGTCAAAGGTCCCCCTCATAAAAGGATAAGGGAAAGATCCATTGTAATCCCCAGTGGGGTAAAGGTGTGCTCCAAATGGATATATAAATGTATGTAATATATATTGTACATAAATAATAATAATAATAATAATAATAATAATAATTAATAATAATTAATAATAATAATAATAAATAATAATAATAATAATAATAATAATAATATAGTGGTGGTGGTGGTGTTTTTGTTGTTTTGCTGTTGTTATTATTATATGGCTTTATTTTCTCCTCTCCCTTCTACGTATGTACCATAGGGAAAACCAACCCTGTGAGGTAGACTGGGAAAAACACAATTAAAATTTAATTTCTTGATGTCATTTTCTCTCGCCTATCGGGTTCCGAGACTATAGGAAAAACTAACCTTGGAGGTAGAGCAACAATTTAAAAAAATATATTTATTTATTGAATTTGTTGGTCTTTCTGGCTGAGAGAGTGTGACCCTCCCAAGGCAGCTTTCCACAGTTGAGTGCCCATAACCTGCAGATCTCATAACACACACACACAATATTATAATCATATCACATATGTAATATATTATGTATGATATACATATTTTATAGCATATATTATTATTATATTATATAGTGTGATATATTATATATAACACATATATAATATAATATGTATAGTATAATATAAAGGTAAAGGTTTTCCCCTGACATTCAGTCCAGTCGTGTCTGACTCTGGGAGTTGGTGTTCATCTCCATTTCTAAGCCAAAGAGCCGGTGTTGTCCGTAGCCACCACCAAGGTCATGTGGCTGGCATGAGTGCTTGGAGCGCCATTACCTTCCCGCCAGAGCAGTGCCTATTAATCTACTCACATTTGCATGTCTTTGAACTGCTAAGTTGGCAGAAGCTGGGGCTAACAGTGGGAGCTCACGCCGTTCACTGGATTTGAATCTGTGACCTTTCGGTCAACAAGTTCAGCAGCTCAATGCTTTAACCCACTGCGCCACTGGGGGCTCCATATTATATGTATATATATATATATATATAGTATGATATATTATAGGAGCCCCCAGTGGTGCAGTAGGTTAAACCACTGAGCTGCTGAACTTGCTGACTGAAAGGTCGGCGGTTCGAATCCAGGGAGTGGGGTGAACTCCCGTTGTTAGCCCCAGCTTCTGCCAACCTAGCAGTTCGAAAACATGCTAATGTCAGTAGATCAATAGGTAATATTGGTCTGTGCAGTCATGCCGACCGCATGACATAGGAGGCGTCTACGGACAACGCTGGCTCTTCAGCTTAGAAATGGAGATGAGCACTACCCCCCCCCCCCAGAGTCGGACACGAGTAGATTTAATGTCTACTTTACCTTTTATGATAAATTATATATAACACATATATCATGTATATGATGTAATATATTATGTATAATATAAATATTTTATATATTTATATAGTATAACATACAACACATGATATGTATCATGTATATAATGTAATATATTATGTATATTATATAGTAGAATTTATTATCTTATATATGATATATAATATATTAAGTACATAATGTAATATATTATGTATAATATAGTATAAATATATTATATAATATTATTGTATAATAGAATGTATATTTTATTATATAGTATAGTATYATATAATATATATTATATACATGATATATAACATTTATATAATATAATCGTGTATAATATAGTATAATATATATTACACTATATATAATATATTATAATATATAATATATTATAGTATAATAGAATGTATATTATATACGATATAATATATCATGTATATAATATAATTATTATAATATAATATATTCTAATACCTCCATTGGAAAAATAGCTTAGAAAGAAGATAATACATATTGTGTATAGTCTATTATAATAGACTATATATCAATATCTGCATCCTCTGTCTCGATCTTGATTTGTGGAGTTTGGACTTTATTTCTCCCTAGAAGCCCTTTGGACCATTGAGTTGAAAGGAGAGCCCTAAAGGTCATCTAATCCAACCCCAATCTGAAAGATACTGCTAAAGTCCTCCCAACAGAGGCCAATAAGAGTTTGATTCGCATTGGTGCGTTCTGCAAACTGAATTCCCCAATAGGGTGTGCCTACACTGTTGATTTAACCCAGTTAGAAGCCCAGTGGAAAATCACCCCTTTTTCTTGTCCTGTTTTGCTTTCCCTCCCTGCTGCCTTGCCCCGTGGACTTTGCGGTTCAAATTTAGCAACAACCGTGTCGGGTTTCCTCCCAAAGGGTTTTTTTGGCCTCCAACCCATTCTCCCATTATCTGGGCCTGGCAGAAAAGAGCAGGCAGCGGCCTTATCTGGGCCAGGAGTCACTTCGTACTTTGGAAACTGCAACTTTCCCGGTGGTTGTTTTCGGAACAAGAATTGCAAAGGGGAAATTCCTGAAGCCAGGCATACCTCTGACCTAGAACATTTGTAAGGTGGCTTGTTTGTCTTCCTTTCTTTCCTTCTTTCTTTCTTTCTTTCTTTCTTTCTTTCTTTCTTTCTTTCTTCCAGTCTTTTTCCTCTTTATCTCTTTGTTCCTCTTTCTTTCTTTCTTTCTTTCTTTCTTTCTTTCTTTTCTCTTTTCCTTCCTTCCTTCTTTCTTCCATTCTTTTTTTCTCTTTATCTGTTTCTTCCCCTTTCTTTTTTCTTCCTTCCTTCTTTTCTTCTTTCTTTCTTCCTTCCATTATTTTTTTCTCTTTATATTTTTCTTTCCCCTTCTACTTCCTTCCTTCCTTCCTTCCTTCCTTCCTTCCTTCCTTCTTTCTTTCTTTCTTTCTTTCTTTCTTTCCTTTCTTTTTATTTCTTTCTTCCATTCTTTTTCCCTTTATCTCTTTCTTCCCCTTTTTCTTCCGTCTTTCTTTCCTACTTTCTTCCATTCTTTTTTCTCTTTATCTCTTTCTTCCCCTTTCTATTTTTCTCCTTCCTTCCTTTTTCTTTCTTACATTCCTTTCTTTCTTTCTTTTCTTCCTTCCTTCCTTCCACTCTTTTTTTCTCTTTCTTCTTTCTTCCACTTCTTTTTTCTCTTCCCTTTCCATTCACGTCCTTCTTTCATTCCATCCATCTTTCTTTCCTTTCACTTTCTTCCTTTCTTTTTTCCCTTTCCTATTTCTTCCACTTCCTRCCATTTTCTTACAMTTTTCCCGTTTTCTTCCCCATTTTCTTTTCTTCTTCTGTCCCCTCTTTCTTCCGTCCTSCCTTTRATCTCCTTCATTGCTTTCTCTCTTTTTTCTTTCACTTTCTGCTTCCTTCCATTCTCAGCCTCAAAAGGAGAAATTCCATATAAAGTGTGTTCCTTAGTGGTACCCTCCTGTCTGGGGTTGGTCTTGATGTCCTTTGTGGGGCCCCCTTCCCATTCTGTTTGATGAATGGGGAACTAATGTGAGCGGATGGCAATGTCACAACAAATTATAACTTAGCTTTAGGGTTTATTTGCAGTTTTTAATTCTTTTGGTGGCTCTTTTTCCTGGCAAGAAAAAAATATCCTTTCTTGTTTTCTCTCAATGAAAAGGAGTTTTGTTTCGCCGAATGCCTGCCTCCTCTTTGGCCTTAATCCCTTCCCTTCTTTTATGGCTTTCTTATAAAAAAAAGTCCAGGCCGGAAAAGAAAAATAACATTCTTTTTACAGTGTAGGTGTGCCCTTAGTGAAACTATAACTTCCAGGATTAGAGGACCTTAAATCATGGCAGTACAAATGGGGTCAAGCTGCAGCCATTCTACAGTGTAGAAATTCCCATGGAGTGACGGCAGGCCCTTGGTGAAATTAAAAATCCCAGGATTTGATCACATTAAGCCATGGCACTACACATGGAGTGGCAACGTGCCCTTAGTGAAACTGCAATTCACATGATTACGTCGCAGTGAGCTGTGGCAATACAAATGGAGTAAAAGTGTGCCCTTAGTGAAATTACAACTCCCAGGAATCTACAGTAGTAGGCCATGGTGGAACACATGGAGTGATGGTGTGTCCTTAGTGAAACTACAACTCCCAGGAGTCTACAGTAGTAGGCCATGTCGGAACACATGGAGTGATGGTGTACCCGTAGTGAAACTACAACTCCCAGGAGTCTATAGTATTAGGCCATAATGGAATACATGCCCTTAGTGTAACTCCAGCTCCCAGGTGTCTATAGTATTAGACCATGGTGGAACACATGGAGTGAAGATGTGCCCTTAGTGAAACTACAACTTCCAGGATTCCATCGCATTGAGCCGTAGGAGTACACATGGAGTGACAGCGTGCCCTTAGTGAAACTACAGCTCCAAGGATTCCTTCGCATTAAGCAGTGCAAATAGTGTGAAGGTGTGCTTTTAGTGAAACTGCAGCTCACAGGATTCCATCACATTGAGCCATGGCAGTACACATGGGATGAAGGCGTGCCCTTGGTGAAACTACAGCTCCCAGGTGTCTATAGTATTAAGCCATGGTGGAAGACATGGAGTGACAGTGTGCCCTTAGTGAAACTACAACTCCCAGGAGTCCATATTGTTAAGCCATGGTAGTAGAAACAGAGTCAAGCTACATTCGTTCTACACTCTAGGCATGCCCTTAGTGAAACGATAACTCCCATTATTCCTCTCTTCCAGGTGCCCTGGTTCCCCTTCTCGCCCGCCGGTCCGCCTGGCATGGGTGATGGTCGAGTGGTCGAAGGGCAAGTGGGTCTGAAGAGGACGGATGCAGAGGCCACGTTCCACGCCTTGCCTGAGGTGAGCCCCTCTGGCTACGTCCGTCTCTCCCAGCTTGACCATCTCCTCCTTGAAATGCTTTTGTGCAGGACAGGGTCATTCCAAAATAGACTACAACTTCCCTCCATTTAGATTTCCCATTGAAGCAGCCTAGAATCGTATTGGCCTTTTTCACCGCTGCAGCACAGTCTTGGCTAATAATAATAATAATAATAATAATAATAATAATAATAATATACCTTTCACAACAACTATTGTCAATCCAAGTGCCGCTCATCCTATATACAAATAATAATCATCACCATATCCCTTTCACATTGACAATCCAAGTGTCCCCCCTCCTATATTCAAATAATAATGATGATAATAATAATAATAATAATAATAATATCCCTTTCACATTGTCAATCCAAGTGTTTTCCCTCCTATATACAAATAATAATAATAATAATAATATCTCTTTCACATGAACTGTTGTCAATCCAAGTGCCCCCAATTCTATATACAAATAATAATAATAATAATAATAATAATAATAATAATAATATCCCTTTCATATTGTCAATCCAAGTGTCCCCATGTTACAGACAAATAATAATATCTCTGAACAATTGTCAATTCAAGTGCCCTCAATTCTATATACAAATAATAATAATAATAATAATAATAATAATAATAATAATAATAATACCAGGCTTTAGCACAGTGGGTTAAACCGCCAGTTACAGAAAATCTTGCTGCTTGAAAGTCGGCAGTTCAAGCCCAGGCTGCAGTGAGCTCCCAAATGTCAGCCCAGCTTCTGCTCACTTAGCAGTAATGTGAGTAGATAAATAGGTACTGCTTTGGCGGGGAGGTAATAAAAGACGCCCATGCGGATTCCATTGGGAGAGCATCTAAAGACAATAAAGCTCGGCAAGGAAGATGGAACGACAGCAATCCTCATGGCACAGCCTCCAGATGCCGGAGATGGACAAAGATGGGAAGCCTTTACCTCTGTTTATATACTGTCTGCCTTTGTTCATTGTATAACCGCATTGACTGTTTGCTGTATATGTGTACTTTAATCTGCCCTGAGTTCCCTCAGGGAGATGGAGCGGAATAAAGCATATTATTATATTATTAAGGTAAAGGTCTCCCCTGACATGTACTCTAGTCATGTCCGACTCTGCGGGGTGGTGCTCATCTCCATGTCTAAGCTGAAGAGCCAGTGTTGTCTGTGGACACCTCCAAGGTCATGTGGCCAGCATGACTGCATGGAGTGCCATTACCTTCCCACCAAGGGGGTACCTATTGATCTACTCACATTTGCATGTTTTTGAACTGCTAGGTTGGCAGAAGCTGGGCCTAACAGTGGGAGCTCACACCGCTCCCCGGATTTGAACCGCCGACCTTTCAGTCAGCAAGTTCAGCAGCTCAACAGTTATATTATATTATTACCCCTTTCATATTGTCAATCAAAGTGTTCCCCATCTATATACAAATAATAATAATAATAATAATAATAATAATAATAATAATAATAATAATCTATGCATGTCATATTTATTGTACTGAACAGGGGCATTGTATGGACAATCAGGGCAACTCTAGGGTTTCTCCCCTCGCAGGGCGTCCAAGAGCAGAGGAATGTGGTCCACTCCTTGATGTCTGGAGCGCTTGCCGGAGCCGTGGCCAAAACTGCCGTGGCCCCTCTGGACCGGACGAAAATCATCTTCCAAGGTAAGGCTGCCGAATCCTAGGTTGGGAAAGGGACCGCTAGAGATCATCTAGTCCATCCCTATTTGGCCAGGCAGGAAGGCACAACTTGAGCCTTCCCAAAAGAGGCCTTTCCAGCCCTTCCAGAGATTGTGTCTCCAATTCCCCTTCCAGGTTCAATGTGTATTAAACAAAATTATAGATGGGAGGGACCCCAAAGGCCATCTAGTCTGGCCCATTGCCTTGCAGGAAGGCACAACTTGAACTGTGTTGAAAGAAGCCCTTCCAGTCCCTTTTTAAAGGCCTCCAAACATGAAGACCTTCCATTTAAGTCCCGTTTAAAGACAATTCAAATCCTAATAGAATCCTAGAATTGGAAGGGATTCGTTGAATGAAGCATATAAAGAATATATACAGTATACACATTAAGATCCTGCTTAGAATTGCTTTCCCCGCAACATCTCATCCGCTGCTTTAATCCCCAAAGGAAATCAAGGCGATTTAATCTCTCGGTTTTGAAAAGTGGGCTTTCCTTCCTTTTCCGGGAAGAGCTGAAAATCCAGTGTTAATCCGACGATTCCCATACGTATAATCCTTTCCTCGCAGACACACAAAACCCATTCCGAAATTGACTTTTTGTGGGGCGAAATAGGGTGCAAATGAATACCAACAACAACAACAACAACATGTATCCCTCTTTCCTCTCTTAAGGAAACTAAAAGCTGCTCAAAGGTTGTGTGAATAATACTAATATCATCATAATCCAGCTTTTCTCTCTTAACTCAAAGCAGCTCAAAGGTTATGTGAATAATAATAATAATCATCATCATCCTGTTCTACTCAAAGTATCTCAAAGGTTATGTGAATAATATATGTATCGCATTGAGCTATGACAGTACACATGGAGTGATGGCATGCCCTTAGTGAAACTACTAATCCCAATATTCCATCGCATTTAGCCATGGCAGTCACATGGAGTGAAGGTGTGATCTTAGTGAAACTGCAACTCCCAGGAATCCATAGTATTAAGCCATGGTGGAACACATGGAGTGACAGCATGCCCTTAGTGAAACTACAACTCCCAGGATCCTGTCGCATTGAGCCATGACAGTACAAATGGAGTGACGCCGTGCCCTTAGTGAAACTACAACTTCCAGGATCCCGTCGCATTGAGTCATTGCAGTACACATGGAGTGACAGTGTTCCTCGGTGAAACTACAACTCCCAGGATTCCATCGCATTATTTATTTATTTATTTACAACATTTGTATGCCGCTTTTCTCACCCCGAAGGGGACTCATAGTTTAATGCAGTTTAATGTACTGCATTAAACCATGGGAGTACAAATTGAGTAATAGTGTGCCCTTGGTGAAACTACAACACCCAGGAATCTATCGCATTTAGCCATGGGTTGTCTAATTTGAGTGAAGGCATGACTTTAGTGAAACTACAACTCCCAGGATTCTATCAAATGGAGCTATGGCAGTACAAATGGAGTTGAGGCGTGCCTTTCGTGAAGCTACAACTCCCAGGATTCCATCACATTGAGCCATGGCACTACAAATAATAATCATATTCATAATCATAATAATAATCCTATTTTACTCTCTTAAGGCAATTCAAAGCTGCTCAAAAGTTGTGTGAATAATAATATCATCATTACTACTATCATCATAAACATATTCTCTCTTAAGTGGCTCCAAGCAGCTCAAAGGTTATGTGAATAAATAATAATATAATCATGTCATTATTATCTTGTTTTATTCTCTTAATGAGTCTCAAAGCTGCTCAAAAATTGTTTGAATAATAATAATACTAATAATAATAATAATAATAATAATAATAATAATAATAATAATCTAATTATTACTATTAGGGCCAGGCTTTCACACAGCAGGTTAACCGCCAGCTGCAGTAAACCTTGCCAACTGAAAGGCTAACACTTTGAAGCCTGGGTTGGGGTGAGCTCCTGACCTTTAGCCCAGCTTCTGCCTACTTAGCAGTTTTGAAAACAGCAATGTGAACAGATAAATAGGCACCGCTTAAGCGGGGAGGTATTTTATCTCGATCTATGTATAGTTGACTGTCTTGTCAGTGTATAACAGCACTGAATGTTTGCTGCATATATGTTCAGTGATCTACTCTCAGTCCCCTTCAGGGTGAGAAGGGCGGAATATAAATACTCTAAATAAAATACTGTTATTTTTATCATCATAATCATCATCACCATCATCATTCCGCTCTCCTCTCTTAAGGAGAGTCAAAGCTACTCAAAGGTTGTGTTAAATAATAATAATATTATAATCATATTATTATTAACAACCTGTTTTACTCTTAAGGAGAGTTACAACAGTTCAAAGGTTATGTTAATAATAATAACAACAATATATTATTATTATTATTATTATTATCCTGATTTACTCTCTAAGGGAGACTCAAAGAAGATCAAAGGCTACATTAATAATAGTAATAATATTCTCTCTCTCAAAGTGTCAAACTCCAAAAAGCAGAACCATGTGAAAATTAAAAACTAAAGCATAGAAATTATGCTTAAATACAAGGCTATTAAAATACACATTGTGAAAGCCCATCAAACCCATTCATTTGAGTGCAATGTAAAAGAAATACAAGATAATAAAAGGGGAGGGTGGGTTTGTCACGTGTGTTTAAGAAGCTTCCGTTTTGACCGTACCTTCCTAATGGCGACTTCTTTTCCTTTTCAGTGTCGTCGAACCGTTTTTCTGCAAAGGTAAGGCTGCCTCCGTTTATCTGGGGAACCTCGAAGACCATCCAGTCAAAACCCCATTCTTTCCAGGGAGGTAAACAACATTCAATTCCTCTCGACAGATGGCCATCCAGCCTCAGGCATTTAAAAATAAAAACTGGATGGGGTGGCATTGGGGGGGGGGGGGATGTCCCTTTGATCTCTAGTGACATCTTGACTACTTTGAGGTTTTTGAATCAGAGGCTGGATGGCTATCTGTTGAGAGGGGTTTGATGGTGTCTTCCATTTTCTGGATGGCCTTTGGGGGGCCCTTCCAACTCTAGGAGTCTGTAATCTATCTATCTATCTATCTATCTATCTATCTATCTATCTATCTATCTACCTTCTATACAGATAATAAAAGTGAAAATATGTATGTGTGTATGTGTGTTTAGATAGTCCACTTACATAGACAAGCTGCTACCTCCACAAACTATAGTCCCCACCACTCAAGAGACACCAAAGGCCCTCCCTCCAATGACACTGCAGGTTATACAGAGTGCCATGAATATGTCCAAGAGCCCTGCCAATGCCCTTCACAAACACCATCCTGCCCACCACCCAAGTGAAAGCTTTCATAGCAGGACAATTTCATCCTAGATTTTCTGTGTTTCCTCCACCACAGACATCCCAGTGTTCTTTCTCTCTCCATTTGTAGTGGAATTTGCAAGACCCAACCTTCTCCCTTAACTCTTTCCTATTCTTTTCTATGGCACACAAAAAACAGAGGAACTGATCAGCAACTGAACATACTAGAGATAATTCACCATGATTTATAGAAGTTGTAGGTACTGGGATGTATAGTTCCAGTATTGATCTTAAACACCTAAGAGCACTCTGAACCCCACCAATGATGGACCTGGAACTAACTTGGCACCCAGAACCCCCATGACCAACAAAAATACTGGAGGTCTTTTGAGGGATTTATAGGAGTTATAGTTCACCTACATCCAAAGTGCACTATGAACCCAAACAATGATAGATCTGGACCAAACTTGGCATGCCCACATTTGAGTACTGGTGGGTTTTGAGGGGAATTGACCTGGACATTCTGGAGTTGTAGGTACTGGGATTTTTAGTTCACCTGCAATCAAAGACCACTCTGAACTTCACCAACGATGGAATTGGACCAAACTTGGCACACACAGCCCTCACAACCAGCAAAATTTTCTTTGGGGAAAATTCACCTTGATTTGAGGGAGTTGTAGTTCACTTACAACCAGAGAGCACTGTGAACTCAAACAGTAATTCATCTGGACCAATCTAGGCACACATACCTCATATGCTGAAAATTGATTATTGGAGGGGTTTGGAGGGAACTGACCTTCCTTTCTGGGAGTTGTAGTTCACTCACAACCAGAGAAACTGACCTCCACCGATGATGGACCTGGACCAAACTTGGCACACAGAAACCCCAGAACTAACTCAACCTACTGAAGGGATTTGAGGGGTCTGACTCACCATAGTGGGAGTTGTAGTTTACCCTGCAGCCAGAGAGCACACTGAACCCCACCTATGATGCATCTAGAGCAAACTTACCCAACATAACAAACTTTAAGTCCTAACGGATTTCAGGGGGTTAACCTGGCAGGATATGAGTTGTAGTTTACCCACAACCTTATGCATTTTGTACAATTAAAAATTGAGTTTTTCAAATAACCAGGGCAACGCCGGGTATCCAATCTAGTTAGTAATATTATCATTGATCAGAGTCTGGATGGGCATCTCTCGGGTGGGCTTTGATGGTGTCTTCCTTTGTGGCAGGAGGGGGTGGACTGGATGGCCTTTAGTGGTTTTTTCAACTCTTATCATTCATAAGTGTTCCCCGCTTCTTGCAGGAGGCCTACCGGCTGGTCTACCGCACCTACCTCCATGAGGGCTTCTTCAGCCTTTGGCGCGGCAACTCAGCCACCATGGTGCGGGTCATCCCTTATGCCGCCATCCAGTTCTGTGCCCACGAGGAATACAAGCAGCTCTTGGGGAGCTATTATGGCTTCCAGGGAAAGTAAGGCAAAGATCGGGTGTCTTGTTTACGTACCAAGGCTAGGTGGCCATCTGTCGGGAGGGATCAGATTGTGTCTTCCTAAACTACTTAACAGAATGGATGACTCCTTGGGGTCCCTCCCAACTAGGATTCCATGGTCTATAGCCCATAACTCTTCTAATGTCTATGAGGCTGGATGGCCATCTATTTGGAGAGATCGGATGGTGCATTCCTTTTAAGTTGGAATTGGATTATCTAGAGTATTTGTATTGAAATATAACAGTGAAAAGACTAGACATGATTTTGTCAATTCTTTTGAGTGCTGGTTGTTTGAGAGTTTTAGGTTAGCTGAGAGTCTACTGTGTTGTTGTTATTATCCAGGGCTCTGACCCCGCTGCCGCGCTTTGTGGCTGGTTCACTGGCGGGGACCACGGCAGCCATGTTGACGTATCCCTTGGACCTGGTGCGGGCACGGATGGCGGTGACCCCTAAGGAAATGTGAGTGGATTGCTTTGTATTGCATTATGAGGCCATAAATGTGAGTGGGTGCTTTACACTGCATTTTATTGGCTGGCCATAAAGGTGAGTGGATGCTTAGCATTGTGTTGCATGGCCATAAATGTGAGTGGATGCTTTACATTGCATTGCATTGGTTGGCCATCAAAGTGAGTGGATGCTTTGCATTGCATCACATTGCGTGGCTATAAATGTTTGTGGATGTTTTGTATTGCATTGCATTGTACTGTATGGCCATACGAGTGGATGCTATGCTTTGCATTGCATTGCATGGCCATAAAGGTGAGTGGATACTTCTCATTGCTTTGCCATATATGTGAGTGGGCAGTTTGCATTGCATTGCATGGCTATAAAGGTGAGTGGGTGCTTTGGATTGTGTTACATTGGTTGACCATAAATATGAGTTGATGTATTGCATTGGTTGGCCATAAATATGAGTGGGTTCTTTGCATTGCATTGCATGGCCATAAATGTGAGTGGATGTTTTGCATTGTGTTTCATTTCATGGCCATAAATGTGAGTGGATGCTTTGCTTTGCATTGCATTGTATCACACTGCATGGCTATAAATGTGAGTGGATGCTTTGCTTTGCATTGTATCACACTGCATGGCTATAAATGTGAATAGATGCTTTGCATTGCATTGTATGGCCATAAATGTGAGTGGATGCTTTGCTTTGCATTGTATCACACTGCGTGGCTATAAATGTGAATAGATGCTTTGCATTGCATTGCATGGCCATAAATGTGAGTGGATACTTTGTACTGGATTGCATTGGTTGGCCATAAAGGTGAGTAGATGCTTTGCATTGCATTGCATTCGTTGGCCATAAATATAAGTGAATGTTTTATTTTGCATTGTATTGCATGACCATAAATGTGAGTGGATGCTTTGCAGTGCATGGCCATACATGTGAATGAATTCCCTTCCATTTGTCTTATCCAAGGTACAGCAACATTGTTCATGTCTTTATCCGGATCTCACGGGAGGAGGGCCTGAAGACCCTCTACCGGGGCTTTGCCCCCACCATCCTGGGGGTCATCCCTTACGCCGGGCTGAGCTTCTTCACCTACGAGACCCTCAAGAAGTTTCATGCAGGTAAGAAGGGGTTTCTGGCTTTGGTGGACCGTTTTGGAGCACTATTGTGGTGCAGACAGCCAGGCAACCATGTCCCTCTCTGCCTTTCTCATGCCCAGATCACAGCGGACGCTCGCAGCCGTACCCCCTGGAGCGCCTAGCCTTTGGTGCCTGTGCTGGCCTGATTGGCCAGTCGGCCTCCTATCCACTGGATGTGGTGCGCCGGCGGATGCAGACGGCCGGCGTGATGGGCTTCTCCTACAGCTCCATCCTGGGTACCATGGTGGACATTGCCCGGGAGGAGGGCCTGGTCCGGGGCCTCTACAAGGGGCTAAGCATGAACTGGGTCAAGGGCCCTATCGCCGTGGGCATCAGCTTCATGACTTTCGACCTCACCCAGATCCTGCTCCGGCGGTGGGAGCGGAGTGTCCACGTGGAGAGGTAGGAGGTAGGCGGCGGAAGGGAATGGGGCCAATGGGCAGACTGCCCGGAAACCCCACACGGAATCCCAACCGGAAGCCTTGTCTGGAGGTCCTTCTGGAAACCCCATATGGACACCTATCTGGAGGTCCCATCAGAAATATTGTATGGAAGTCAATCCTGAAGTCTCATTGGGGGGTCCTTCTGGAAGCCTATCTGGAAGTCCTGTATGGAAACTTATCTGGAAGCCTTGTCCAGAGGTCCTTCTGGAAAACCCATAAGGATACCTATCTGGAAGTCTGATTGGAAATCATGCGTGGAAACTATCTGGAAGTCTCATCTGGAAGTCCTGCAAGGAAACCTATCTGAAAGCCTTGTCTGGAGGAAACCCCATATGGACATTTGTCTGGAAGTCCCATCGGAAATCCTGTATGAAAAGCCACCCGGAAGTCATGTCCAGAGGTCCTTCTGGAAATCTATCTGGAAGCCTTGTCCAGAGTTCCTTCTGGAAACCTCAAATGAACACTTGTCTGGAAATCCCATTGTAAATCATGTATGGAAACCCATCCAGAAGTCCTGTATGGAAAACCATCTGCAAGTCTCATTCAGCAATCCTTCTGGAAATGCCATATGGACACCTATCTGGAAGTCCCATTAGAAATCATGTATGGGAAACCCATCCGGAAGTCTCATTGGGAGATTCTTCTGAAAATCCCATAAAGACACCTACCTGCATGACCCACCAGAAATCATGTATGGAAACCTATCTGGAAGTCTCGTCAGTAGGTCCTTCTGGAGACCCCATAAGGACACCTATCTGGAAGTTACATCAGAAAATCTGTATGGAAACCCATCCGGAAGTCCTGTTGAAAATTCTGTATGGACACCTACCTGGAAGTCTGTATGGAAACCATCTGGAAGTCCTGTATGGATACATATCTGGAAGCCTTGTATGGCGGTCCTTCCAAAAACCCCATAAGTATACCTATCTGGAAGTCCCATCAGAAATCATGTATGGAAACCCATCCGGAAGTCACGTCTAGAGGTCCTTCCGGAAACCCCATATGGTCACTTGTCTGGAAGTCCAATCAGAAATCATGTATGAAAATCCATCTGGGAGTCTGTGATGGAAACTGCGATGGGAACCCTGTACAGAAGCCCATCCGGAGGCTCCATTCAAAAGTCCCGTCCAGAAGTCTCATCCGGAAAACCCAGATGGAAACAATTTTGGAAACCCTATGCCAATGTCCCATCTCTAAACTCTGGAAACTCATACGGAAGTCCCATCCGAAAACCCTTTCCAGAAGTCCTGTCTAAAAAATTCCATATGGAAATCCAGTCTGGAAACTGATACAGAAGTTCTGTCCGGAAACCCTTCTGGAAATTCCACCCTAAAATAATTGTATGGAAACCAGAAACCCTTCCTGAAGTCCCATCAGAATTCCTTATACAGAAACCCCAACCCGTCTCAGTGTTTCCCCAACTGGACTCCAGCACCTAGCATCCTCAATCATCGGGACTTAATGGGAATCAAGGCCTGAAGTTTTGGAATCTGGAGGAATATGGCATCTTGGACTTTGGAACGGACAGCGTGATTATTATTATTATTATTATTATTATTATTATTATTATTATTATTATTAAATTGCAGCAGAGGATGTTGGGATAGGTTAAGCAGAGACTGGATGACCATCTGTCAGAAGGGCTTTGATGATGTCTTCCTCCCTGGTAGAATGAGGTCAGACTGGATGGCCATCTGTCGGAAGGGCTTTGATGATGTCTTCCTGCCTAGTAGAATGAGGTCAGACTGGATGGCCCCTGGAAGTCTCTTCCAACTCTATCTAATACAGTCCTCTGGGAGTTCAAATTAAATACTAATATGGAGAATGTTCAAGTGTATCAACCATGTGGGGATGATGGGGGTGAAGTTAAAAATAATATAGGGATTATGGGAGTTTGAATGAACAAATATATAGGGGATGATGGGAGTTCTTTTTGTTCTTGTCTCGATGACCTCAGATTTGCACATTTTTATGTTTCTCCCAGACATGAAACTATTGGACAATTTTCTAGACCTTTAAAGAATCCAATGCTGCATTGCCGATCCCACCAGAAAACTATATTTCCCAGGTTTTTTTTTCTTTCTCCCTTCCCGGTGGGTTTTTGCGTGTTTATAACAGCAAACGGTCCTCTTTTTGTTGTTGTTGTTTTATATTAATGTTTATAGCGACCCTAATAATTGTAAACATCTGTGCCAAGAGTGGAGGTATATTTAATAATAAAAGGAAATTTGCTTTATCCAAGCCCTGGATTCAGCATTCACTTGGGTGGTGGGCAATATGGTGTTTGCGGAGGATATTGGCAGGTCTCTTGTACATGTTCATTGCACTCACTATAATCTACAATGTCATCGGAGGAAGGGCCATTGGTGTCTCCTGAGTAGTGGGAGCTATAGCTGTTTGTGGAGGCACATACAGATTTTCACTTTTATTGTGTGTATAGATAAATAGATAAGATATAGATATCCCTATATGTATTTGTCCTGTTATAATAATAGGACTAATATCCCTATATAATATCTATTATAATATCTATTATAATATCTATTATAATATCTATTATAATATTAGTCTAATAATAATAATACTTCTATATATTTTACTAGCTGTACCCCACCACGCGTTGCTGTGGCCCTCAGAAAACAGAGGATTTGCAGACATGAAGCAATCTGGGCTAGGGAACTCCTCCCACCAAAGGTTTCCTGCTGGCTAGTAGAATCCAGGCTGTTAAGATATTTTTTTTTTCGTGTCAGGAGTGACCTGAGAAACTGCAAGTCGCTTCTGGTGTGAGAGAATTGGCTGTCTGCAAGGACGCTGCCCAGGGCACGCCCGGATGATTTGATGTTTTATCATCCTTGTGGAAGGCTTCTCTCATGTCCCCGCATGAGGAGCTGGAGCTGATAGAGGGAGCTCATCCGCCTCTCCCCGGATTCAAACCTGCGACCTGTCGGTCTTCAGTCCTGCCGGCACAGGGGTTTAACCCACTGCGCCACCGGGGGCTGTTAAGGTGCAAGGTGGTATGGAAAATACATTAATGAGAAGCAGCCACTGAAGCTGCAAGGCTTTTCAGTTATATTAATGCTGGCCAAAACACTCAAAAAAAGCCTCTTTGAAACAGAGGCTGGGTGGCCATCTGTTGGGGGTGCTTTGAATGTGATTTTCCTGCTTCTTCACAGAATGGAGTTGGCCTGGATGGCCTACCAGGTGTCTCCCAACTCTAGGGCTCTCTATATTCTTCTCTTCCATTCACCAGTTTCCACCTTTCTTTCTTTGTTCCTTCCTTCCTCTTCCTTTCCTTCTACCTTTCTTTCCATTCATAATCTTCTCTTCACCTATCCTTTTCTTCCTTTCTTCTCTCCTTTCCCTTTCTTTCCCTTCCTTCCTCCGGGACAGTTTGTAAGGGTTTTTAAAGGATTGGGGGGGGGGGGGGGGGGGGGGGGCTGTGCAGCCACTCCTGCAATCAGGCTTGCCTTGCAATCCTCTGGTCTTGGGGAAAGAGTTGCCTGGTAGCCACGTGGGCCTCATGGAGCCGCTGCGGTGGCTCCAGCTGCTGCCAGTGCTTGCCTTGCCAAGTCCCCACGCCTCCGTTGGGCCAGGCTTTCACCTTCCTTCCTTCTTTCCTTTCCTCAATCCTTCCCCTCCCCAAAAGAAAATAGACTCTGCCTTCCTGCATGGAAAGGGACTCCATGGCGAGGCTTCTCTTCCCTCACAACAGTTGGTGCTTCATTCTTTTCGCACAATGGCGAGAGGGGCTTTTGCGCATGCTCTGTAAGGCATTTTTCTTTTTGGGGAGTTTTAAGCTATTTCCCTTTCATTTTTTATGGATTTTTTGTTTGAAAGACATGGATCGGATTAGAATGTGTTTTGCTGCCAGATTTGGTGTCAATTCGTCCAGTGGTTTTTGAGTTCTGTTAATCCCACAAACGAACATTACATTTTTATTTATATAGAAGAGATAGGGATATATATTATTATATCCCTATATGTATTAGTCCTGATATAATAAAAGGACTAATATTCCTATATATTACATAGGATGTATTATTATATCCCTGTATGTATTAGTCGTATTGTAATAATAGGACTAATAACCCTATATATTATATAGGAATGGATACACACACATACATATACATACACCTATATATATTAATCTGATAGATATATACCTCTGTATCTATCTATATGCATTTTATACAGGGATATATATTATTATATCCCTATATGTATTAGTCCTATTATAATAATAGAACTAGTATTCCTATATATTATTGTTGCACCCTGGACCTAAAGCAACTGATCACCATAGCACCGCATAAGAGTTCAAAGTATAAGCAAATGGTTTATTGCAAAAAGAACACATAAAAGGTATATGGGAAAAGTCAGGTATAAGGAAATAAGGTGTATAATCCAAAGGGTCAGCAACAGATGATAACCAAACAGGAAATAAATTCTGTCTCATAAAACCAAAGGTAACACAGTTCAACAATAGTCCCAAAATGCAAAGGCACCTTAAGCCCACAAGCAGAAGAAATCCGTAGCAAAAACTGAAAAAGAAATACAAAACAAGAACATGGAAAATTCCCAGTATACTTACGCGTAAATCCTAGACCAAGGCTTGAAACGTGAACCAGAGAATTCAGGCCTAGCTTCTAACTTGAAAGCTACGTTGCCTGAACTGAAGTCATAGTGTCCGTTAGCTCTTAATAAACAGACATGAAATCATTATGTCTGCCATGGAATTACTGTTTCCTACGAAACAGTGTTGATCCATGAAGCTGGCTATCAGCCCTAATCTGCAAATATCCCTCCTTGCTTAGGTCTGTATCACCTGGTGCTTTCTCATGAGCACCTCCTGTCAATTCATCTTCCCTCAATCCTTATCTAGGGAGGATGATTCCAACTCCTGTGACTGGCCTTGAGGTTCAGAGGCAATTATATTCTCAGGGCCTGCTTCACTATATGAAGTGGTTTCATTTTCCTGGCCTGTATCCTTCTCTTGGCCTGTATCACTATGAATCCCAGGAAAACCCACAATCCCTTCTCACTCCAAGTCATCAGTGAACTCATCAGCCCCTTGAGGCTGAACACAGAACTCCTTGCCTTCAAGTTGATCTGACCCGCAGCAGGGAGTTCCTCAGTTCTCCATTGCCCCGCCTGGGCCAACCGCATGCACGTGGGCACAGCAGCAGCTGCAACTCAGAAGCCTTCTCATTTCTTTGCCTTTTCCCCTTCCTAACATTGTAACTAATCCCCCCAATAAAAAGTATCAATTAATTTTAACCGTTTCCCTCTCCATAGTGTTACTTTGTGTCTCTTTACTGCCTCAAACTTCTCTTTCAATAAACCTTTCTTCTCCCAAGCTGCAGATGGCTGCCGGCCCTCCTGGGATGCGATTTTCGCATCCCGGGGAGGGCGAAATTGCGTTCCCTTAAACCGCGGATACGGAAACCCCTCGGGGCCCCGTATCCATGAGTCAACGAATCGCTTAAAAATGGTGTCAATCTACTCCTGGGAGAATTCTAAGCCTAATGGCCATCTTGGTTTCACTCCGCTGCCCCTTCTGCCCCGGGAGTAACCTTTTTTTGCCTCTGAAACCCCAACCTGGAGTCCAGCTGTTTTTCCAAAGACGTTGCCTCGATGACACCATTTTGTGGATGTCCAAGGAGCCTGCTGATCCTGGGAAACTGTCACGGTCAACCCATGGGATCCCTAAGATGTCGGCGGGCCGCCTAGGTCCTTGGTGTGGAGGGATCTGTATTCTCTCCATGGATCTCGATCTTCAGCGTTGGTGGATGGCCATAAGGACTCTGTGGACACTGGGGCACCTTTTCCCACTTGCCTTTTCTGGATTTTTGCAACTTTGAACAGCTTTCCCAAACTTTCAAGAACTTTTGAGAACTTTATGGAACTTTCCCCCAAGCTCCATGAACCCCCTTTTTCATGGTTAAGGGATGATATGATTTCATGCTTATGAACTTATTCTTTTGGACTCTGGTGGGTGGGATGGGTGTATATGAAATTCCCTTATGGTTCATTATTCCTTATGTATTTCCCCTGATCCCTGTGTATATATCTATATATGAAATATGGGAAGCCACCTTTTCGTGACCTCCAGCATGACATCAGCCTTGGGTAGCCCATTTCCCAAGGCATATCCCTATTGATTCAAGGTTTTAAAGAAAGACTGATTGCATGACAATAACCCGGCCCCCTCAAGTCTCAGAGCAGGACAGCTTGAGGGAAGCCCCCTGGTGAACTAGTCATCTACCTGCTTTCAAGGGAAGTCAGGATGTCCCAGCTTTTCTCCCTTTTGTCATTTCCCCATGGACCGAGAAAAACCATAAAATAACAAGATGATCCAATATCTGTGACCAGGAAATACCAGGGCTTGGCGATCGTGCCAACCATATCTGCATTTCTCAACCTTTCAAGAGACCTGACCGGCTTGAGGAATCTATTCTTTGATTTATTGCTGGCCATTAGGACACATCAAGTCATTTTAATTCAATCATCTGGACATTCACTTCATTGTTCTTCCCAAGGACCGCCTCCTCCGCTCCCATTGGCTGAGAGCCCGAAGCGGCACTGGTTTTTTGGTTGGCTGATGCGCAGCTAAGCCGTTCGCGCCTCCCCTCCAGCTGATGACAACAGCCAATCAGAGAAATGCCAGCCGAGGGGCGGGGGCGGGAAATTTGAACTTTGACAACTCTGTTTTTCTATAAAAATGTACTAAAATGCATTGCATGTATGTCTCTCCTGACAACATACATGCAATGCATTTTACATCCGTACCAGCTGGACGAAATAAATACAACTTGGTGGCTTTTCTTCAACTTTGATGAGATTTATTTGGGAAAAATCAGGGAAAACTCTTTGGCTGTCTCTGTCTTCACTCACCAGAGTACCGGATCCTCATTGGTGGGTCTAGGGGCTCCTCTCTCCTGGGTGGGAGCCTCTAAATTCTAGCTCGATATCATCCTGAATGGTGTGACTGCTACTGAGATGCAATTATATTTGAAAACATGCAAATATGAGTAGATCAATAGGTACCGCTTCAGCAGGAAGGTAACAGCACTCTATATAGCCATGCTGTCCACACAACCTTGGAGGGATCTACAGACAATGCCGGCTCTTCAGCTTAGAAGTGGAAATGATCACCACCGCACCGAGTCGGATTCAGCTAGACTTAATGTCAAGGGGAAACCTTTACCTTTACTTATGTATTATTACATCCCTAAATATATTAGTCCAATAATTATAACATTGATAATAATAAATCCCTATCCCTCAAAGGGGAATGGAGCCTCCTCTGATATTTGTAATTCCCTTTGAGAGATAGGGATTTATTATTATTATTATTATTATTATTATTGGACTAATATATATAGGGATATAATGATGATAGTCCTATATAATTTATTATATTCAAAGCCGTCCCCTGCCACGCGTTGCTGTGGCCCACTCTGGTGGTCATGGGGGTTCTGTGTGGGAGGTTTGGCCCAATTCTATCGTTGGCCGGGTTCAGAATGCTCTGTGATTGTAGGTGAACTACAAATCCCAGCAACTACAACTCCCAAATGGCAAGATTCTATTTTCCCCAAACTCCATCTGTGTTTATATTTGGGCATATTGAGTATTCGCGCCAAGTTTGGTCCAGATCCATCATTGTTTGAGTCCACAGTGCTCTCTATATTTAGGTGAACTGCAACTCCAAAACTCAAGGTCAATGCCCACCAAAGCCTTCTAGTGTTTTCTGTTGGTCATGGGAGTCCTGTGTGCCACACTTGGTTCAATTCCATCATTGGTGGAGTTCAAAATGCTCTTTGATTGTAGGTGAACTATTAATCCCAGCAACTACAACTCCCAAATGTAAACTCAATTTTTTTGAGTGAAGGACATATATTGGGTTGTTAGGTGTATGCTGTCCAAATTTGGTGTCAATTCCCCCAGTGGTTTTGAAGTTCTGTTAATCCCACAAACGAACATTACATTTTTATTTATATAGAAGAGACGAAGATTATATTGTGTATGCATTTGAACATCATGTGAAAGTTCCAATTTCTAGAGGAAGAAAAAAATACCTTAGGTGAAAAAAAACCCCGCCCCCTGCAGGCTTCCATAGCGGGCTCCTGAATGGCTGCCCGCAAGCAAGATGGCGCTGCCGGAGTTCGGTATTTGCCCGACGTGAGCCTCACCCAAGATGGCGGCGGAAGGGCCCGGATTAAAGATGGCGGCCGCGCCCTTAGAAAAAATGGCGGCCACTGAGAAGCGGCGTACGTCTCCGGCTGCGGCGGGAGGCGACCCAAGCCGGCCGGCGGTTGCAGCAAATGGGGTCCCTGGCGGGCACAGCGCGGCCTGTTTCCTCCTAGAAGCCGGCGTCACTGACATGGTTCGCGCGGCCTTCTTGAAGGTGCTCGAAGCAAGGCCGGAGGAGCCGGTGCCTTTCCTCGCGGCCTACTTCGAGAAGCTGGCCCAGAGCAGCGCCGAGGCGGACGAGGCCGACGCCGGAGACCTTCCCCGACAGCTCCAGCTTCGTCTCGACCGCGCCACCTGGGCCTTGGGCCTGGCCCACCACTCCCACAGGTAACAGGATACTGTCTTGCGACAGCGGACTGCAGCTCCCGGCATGCCACGCGGCCAAACGCTGGCCCGCTCTCAGGCTCAGGAGCGCGGGGTCGCTTGGGACATGGAGTTCTTTATTTCAGGCAGAGGCCACTATAAAGCCTAGGTTTTGATTTGAAGTTTCAGTAACAGACTTCTATTATTATTAATAATAATTAGAACAGTACCATTATATTATAATTGTATTAGTATTATGATAACATTATATGTATTGTCGAAGGCTTTCATGGCTGGAATCACTAGGTTCTTGTGGGTTTTTTCGGGCTATAGGGCCATGTTCTAGAGGCATTTCTCCTGACGTTTCGCCTGCATCTATGGCAAGCATCCTCAGAGGTAGTGAGGTCTGTTGCAAGTAGGAAAATGGGTTTATATATCTGTGGAATGACTGGGGTGGGGCAAAGAGCTTTTCTCTGCTGAAGCTAGGTGTGAATGTTTCAGCTGACCACCTTCATTAGCATTTGAAGGCTTGGCTGAGCCTGGAAAAATGTTCTGTTGAGAGGTGTTAAGATGTGCCTGGTTGTTTCCTCTCTGCTGTTTTGCTGTTGTAATTTTAGAGTTTTTTAATACTGGTAGCCAGATTTTGTGCATTTTCATGGTCTCCTCCTTTCTGTTGAAATTGTCCACATGCTTGTGGATTTCAATGGCTTCTCTGTGTAGTCTGACATGGTGGTTGTGAGTGGTCCAGCATTTCTGTGTTCTCAAATAATATGCTGTGTCCAGGTTGGTTCATCAGGTGCTCTGCTATGGCTGACTTCTCTGGTTGAAGTAGTCTGCAGTGCCTTTCATGTTCCTTGACTCGTGTTTGGGCAATGCTGCGTTTGGTGGTCCCTATGTAGACTTGTCCACAGCTGCATGGTACACGGTAGACTCCTGCAGAGGTGAGAGGATCCCTCTTGTCCTTTGCTGAACGTAGCATTTGTTGGATTTTCTTGGTGGGTTGTAGATTGTTTGTATGTTGTGTTTCCTCATCAGCTTCCCTATGCGGTCAGTGGTTCCCTTGATGTATGGCAGGAACACTTTTCCTCTGGGTGGATCTTCATCCTTACTCTCGTGGCTTGTTCTTGGTCTTGCAGCTCTTCTGATGTCTGAGGTGGAGTATCCATTGGCCTGGAGAGCCCAGTTGAGGTGGTTCAGTTCATCTTGGAGGAGGGGGGGTTCGCAGATTCTTTTTGCACAGTCTGCCAAGAGAAGCCATTAAAAGCCATAAGCATGTGGACAATTTCAACAGAAAGAGGAAACCATGAAAATGAACAAAATCTGGCTACCAGTATTAAAAAAAACTCTAAAATTACAACAGCAAAACAGCAGAGAGGAAACAACCAGGCACATCTTAACACTTCTCAACAAAGATTTTCCCAGGCTCAGCCAGGCCTTCAAATGCTAATGAAGGTGGTCAGTTGAAACATTCACACCTAGCTCCAGCAGAGAAGAGCTCTTTGCCCCACCCCAGCCATTCCACAGATATATAAACCCATTGTCCTAATTCCAACAGACCTCACTAACTCTGAGGATGCTTGCCATAGATGCAGGCGAAACGTCAGGAGAAAATGCCTCTAGAACATGGCCCTATAGCCCGAAAAAACCCACAAGAACCTATTATTCTCATTATTATTATTTTATTATCTTGCTTTTTTCTCAGAGACCCAAAGTTCCTCATTCTGAAAAAGCAATACAATTTTTTATTATTATTATTATTATTATATTATTATTATTATTATTATTATTATTATTATTATTATTATTATTATTATTATTAGCCTGCTTTTTTTAGAGATCCAAAGTGCCTTATACTGTTTTCAGCAATATAAATAAGTGTAGTAATGTGTTGTTGAAGGCTTTCATGGCCGGAATCACTAGGTTGCTGTGAGTTTTCCAGGCTTTCTCCTGACATTTCACCCACATCTATGGCAGGGATCCTCAGAAGTTGTGAGGTCTGTTGGAAACTAGGCAAGTGAGGTTTATTTATCTGTGGAATGTCCATGGTGGGAGAAGGAACTCTTGTTTGTTGGAAGCAAGTGTGAAAGTTGCAACTGGCCACCTTGATTAGCATTTAATAACAAAGGATTCCCCCAGGCAGGAAGCAGCCAGGCTTGGGAAGTCTGACTTGGCCACGGTAGTCCACGCTCTCGTTACATCCCGTATAGACTACTGCAATGCTCTCTACGTGGGGTTGCCTCTGAAGACTGTCCGGAAGCTTCAAATGGTCCAACGGACAGCAGCCATATTGCTGACTGGAGCGGCTCTCAGGGAGCATACAACCCCCCATTGCGCCAACTCCACTGGCTGCCAGTTTGCTACCGGGCACAATTCAAAGTGCTGGTTTTAACCTATAAAGCCCTAAACGGTTCTGGCCCAACTTACCTGTCCGAACGTATCTCCCCTTATGAACCATCTAGAACCTTGAGATCGTCCGGAGAGGCTCTGCTCTCGGCCCCGCCCCCATCACAGGTACGCCTGGCGGGGATGAGAGACAGGGCCTTCTCAGCGGTGGCCCCTCGGCTATGGAATGCCCTCCCTAGAGAGATTAGATCTGCTCCCTCCCTCTTAACATTTCGGAAGCAAGTCAAAACGTGGTTGTTTGAACAAGCATTCACAAATACAAGAGTAACGGATATGGATAAATGACATAGGAAATTGACGATGGACGATGGAATTGGATAATGCTTGACAATAAGGAGACGCTAGTGATGTTGTTTTTATTGCTGTTGTGGTTTATGTAATTGTAATGTTTTAAATTGTTTTATGATACTATGTATACTGTTTTGTTGGAAACTGCCTTGAGTCGCCGAAAGGTTGAGAAAGGCGGTATACAAATACAGTAAATAAATAATAAATAAATAAATTTGAAGTTACAAGGCCATTAAATGCTAATCAAGGTGGCAAATTGCAACATTTATACTTGCCTCCAACAGACAAGAGTTCTTTCTCCCACCCTGGACATTCCACAGATATATAAACCTCACTTGCCTAGTTTCCAACAGACTTCACAGCATCTGAGGATGCCTGCCATAGATGTGGGCGAAATGTCAGGAGAGAATACTTTTGGAACATGGCCAGACAGCTCTGAAACTCACAGCAACCCAATTAAGTAGTTTGTTGTTGTTGTTATCCTGCTTTTTTCCCCAAAATCCAAAGTGCCGCATACTGAAAAAAACAATACAACCAAATGATTTATTATTATTCTGGTTTTTTTTTCCAGAGACTCAAAGTGCCTCATACTGAAAAAAACAATACAATTGAATAGTATATTATTATTATTATTATTATTATTATTATTATTATCCTGCTTTTTTCTCCGAGACCCTAAGTGCCTCATACTGAAAAGGCAATGCAATTAAATAGCATATTATCATTGTCATTAGCTTTGTGCTGCTTGCCTCCTTCTGGGCTACAAAGACTAATGCCCCTGACAGCTATGCATTTGCGCAGCCTCATTCTGGCAATCTATCAGGAGGGATTGGATGGTGACTTCTTCTTGGCTTGAACTGGATGGCCTTTGGGGTCCCTTCCAAGTCTAGGACTCTAAGGTGGCTGTCACCCTCGCATCCATTTTAAGTGTGGGAGATTCAGAGATGGTCATTAAGTATTTTAAGTTTTGAGAGATTACACCTCCCAGAATTTCGTTGGATGATAGTGTGACAGAGTAAAATCATATCTTTAAAATGGTGTTGTGTGGGAACTTTTGGTCCTCTGGTGTGTTTTGAGACACAGGTGTTTTGGACTCATATCTCCCATAATTCCTCACTATTGGACAAGCTGGCTAGGGCTTCTGGGAGTTGGAGGGACACAGCTAAAGTCTCCCATCCCTGGCAATCATAGAATAATAGAGGTGAAAGAGAACCCCAGGACCATTCAGTATAACCCTTTCCTGTCATGCAGGAAAAGCACAATCCAAGCCCCCCTGACAGATGACCATCCAGGCTCTATTTAAAAGCTTCCAGGGAAGGAGCTTCCACTACATTCCGAGGTAGAGAGTTCCATTACATTGAACAGCTCTTACAGTCAGGAAGTTCTTCCTAATGTTCAGGTGGAATCTCGTTTCCTGTTATTTGAACCCATGGCTCCACAGAGTCCTAGACTCCAGGGCAGCAGAAAACAAATCTCCTCCCTCTTTTTTATGACATCCTTTCAGATATTTATACATGGCTCTCATGTCTCCTCTCAACCTTCTCTTTTGAAGGCTAAACATACCGAGTTCTTTAAGATGCTCCTTATAGGGATTCATGGTCTCCACGCCTTTGATCATTTTAGTAACCCTCTTTCTCTGGGCACCTTCCAGCTTAAGAGTCAATATCTCTTTTAAACTGTGGTGCCCCAAATTGGACACAGTTTTATTCCAGGTAAAGAGGTCTAACCAAAGCTGAATAGAGAGGCACCATGATGTCACTCGATCAGGACATTATGCCCCTTTGGATGCAGCCCAAAACCCCATCGGCTTTTTTAGCTGCTGCATCACACTCTTGGACCGTGTTCAATTTGTTGTCCACGAAGATTCCAAGGTCTTTTCCCCATGTAACTCTGCTATTGAGCCAGGCATTTCCCATCCTGTATCTGTGCATTTCCTTTTTTTCTGTCTAAGCATAGTCTCTTCGGTGACCCCGACATCCTCTTCTCTCTTCCTGTGCCTTGGCTCCTAACTGTTTTTCCTCTTCTTTAGAACGGCCTTCGACAACAATGTGGGCATGGCTTACGACTGCCTGGGCACCGCCGGCAAGCGCAAGAAGCCTGGCGTGAATGGGAAGGTGTACAGTGAGCTGCTGCGACGCTTGTGCCGCGAGATGGGCCTCCCAGAGGAGGTGGCACAGTCTTTGCTGAGGAAGCTCCTGTGCCGGGAGCACGAGGCTGTGTCCTTCGACCTCTTCCGCTACGGGGCCCTCACCTGTCTTGTCCTCCTCGAGTTCGTGGCCAAAGCGGACACCTTATACGACGCCCTGGGTGGCTCTGGCGGTGCAGACAAACGGGTCTGTGCGGCTGTCCTCGGTGCCTTGGAGGAGGCCTTGCGTCCCAGCACTGCTGCCCTTCCCGTCCGATACTTGGAGGCAGGCTGCACACTGGGCCCGGACCGCTTGGCACTTGCCATGGACACAGCTTTGGCGGAGAGGAAAGGTGGCGGAATGGCCATGAAGAAGGAGGAGTTCCTTCGCAGGGCTGCATCCGTCTTCCTCTCCAAAGTGAAAACCGTGAATTGAGCACATGGTTCGGACATTTCATTGGGGGGGGGGGGTAAGGATTTGGATGGGCGAATGGGCTTATATAATGTGTGCCTTCGCTCAAGCTCTTCCAGCCGGACTGAGTCGAGTGGCCTGCTTGGGCCAAACTGTATTGTTGAGCAGAAAAATGATGGCAAGATTTAAATTAGGATGATTTATACTGCAAACGTGTTTGTGTTGTCTTAAGCATGGTTTCTTTGCCAAAATTGGGGTGCGCATTAGATTTGCATCATTCAGCAATCTTAGTGCTGAGCCAAAGCAAAAGGGGAAGCTGCTTCAAAAAATTCTGGAGCTCCTCTTTGAGGGACTTCATTTCTAATTTAATTGCCATGACTTAACACTATGCCATCCTGGGATTTGTAGTTTGGTGAGGCATCAGCATCCTTTTGCAGAGAAGCTCACAACCTTGTCAAATGACAGCCTCCATGATTCCATAGCATCGAGCCAAGGCAGTTAAAGGGCATTCATTCTACAGCACAGGTGCATCCCAAGATTTCTTTTCTATCACCGGAAGCAACGACAGCCCTTTGAGGCCACATCCTCAAGGACATTTAAGAAGCAAACTAATAGGAATATCCAGGCATTTTGTCCAGTGCTGAGTAGGACCTGGAAGAAAAGCATTATATTGCAAATAGCTCTCATTTAGGATTTCAGACAGTGGAATCTCTTAAAAGTGCAGGTTAACAGATGCTTCCTGCCATTGCATCTTAAATAGACATGTTGATACCAGAGGCAGAAATAACACGGAAATGATAGGAAGTTTCTATACCCAATAATGTTTTCAACACAAACCCTCATTGGATGCATGAAATGTTTGGCAGAGTGCATTTGATATCTTTGTATTGTGTATGTACGTGGGTGTATATGTGCCTTCACTATTTATAAAGATATATCTCAATTAACAAAACTTTGACTAGTAAACTGCCTTGTTTCACTTTCCTCCCTCATATATATATATGTGTGTGTGTGCGCGCGGGCTTGCATAATATATATATGTGTGTGTACATGAACATACATATATACACAAGCACACATGAACATACATGTGTATATAAATACATGAACATATGTATCTACACATATATATATGAACATAAATGTATATATATAATCATATGAACATATATATGAACACACACAAGGATATATATGTATGTATGTTCATATATGATCATATATAGATGGAGCGCCCGGTGGCACAATGGATTAAACCCTTGTGCCGGCAGGATTGCTAACCGACAGGTCAGCAGTTCAAATCCGGGGAGCGTGGGTTGAGCTCCCTCTGCCAGCTCCAGCTACTCATGCAGGGACATGAAATAACCCTCCCACAGGATGGTAAAACATCAAAACATCCGGGTGTCCCCGGTCAACGTCCTTGCAGATGGCCAACTCTCTCACGCCAGAAGCGACTTGCAGTTTCCCAAGTTGCTCCTGACACAAAAAATAAATCATATAGATGCACATATGTATGTATATATGTATGTATGTATGTGTGTGTGTGTGTGTGTGTGTGTGTGTGTGTATATATATATATATATATATATATATTGCCTTGTGTATATTCATATATATGTGTGTGTGTGTTCATATGTAAAGGTGTGTGTTTTTATATATATATACTATATGTGTGTGTATATAGATACACCAGTATATTTAAAATGTATGGTCTATTTTGCGAAGCAGCTGCCTCCAGAGAGCATACATGTGTGCTCCTATGTATATGTGTGTGTATATACATACACAATCTATATAATAATGTTTGTTTGTGGGATTAACAGAACTCAAAAAGCACTGGACGAATTGACACTAAATTTGGACAGCATACACCTAACAACCCAATGTATGTCTTTCACTCAAACAATTGATTTTGTCATTTGGGAGTTGTAGTTGCTGGGATTTATAGTTCACCTACAATCAAAGTGCATTCTGAACTCCACCAATGATGGAATTGAACCAAATGTGGCATACAGGACTCCCGTGACCAACAGAAAACACTAGAAGGGTTTGGTGGACACTGACCTTGAATTTGGGAGTTGTAGTTCACCCACATCCAGAGAGCACTGTGGACTCAAACAATGATAGATTTGGACCAAACTTGGCACGGATATTCCATATGCCCAAATATGAATATTTGGAGTTTGGGGGAATTAGACCTTGACATTTGGGAGTTGTAGTTGCTGGGATTTATAGTTCACCTACAATAAAAGAACATTCCGAACCCCACCAACGATAGAATTGGGCCAAACCTCCCATACAGAACCCCCACAACCAACAGAAAATACTGTATTTTCTGGTGGTCTTTGGCAACACTCCTGACAACTCCTCACAACCCCCTCCCCCGGGGTGCTAACCCCCAGGTTGTGAAATGCTGCCTTAAGGCCATCCAGTCCACCTCCCCTCACCAGGACAAGAAAACATAATCAAAGCCCTCCTGACAGAGAGCTATACAGCCATAGATATAGATATACATGATTCACACACATATATGTATATGACAGACATAATACCATAGATTTGAAAGGGACCCTTAAAGAAGGACAATGATATGTTACATGTTCCAGAGTAGACAAACCAGGCAATCTCCACATCAACACTGACAAAAAAACAACAAGAAGTAGTTTACTCACAAGCTTAAAGACATTACATATATATTAGGGGTGAATCCAGCAAAACGGAGATCCTATGGCTGGGTCGACTGGGCAGTGGGGACATCCAGTTGCCTACCCTGGATGGCGAGGCGCTACGCCCGTCATCATTGGTAAAGAGTCTGGGAGTCCTTTTGGACCCTCTGCTGACGATGGAGGGCCAGGTCTCCGCCGTTAGCAGAACCGCCTTCTTTCACCTGCGGCAAGCTAGACGGCTGGCCCCCTACCTGTCCAGGGACGACCTAGCTACGGTGATCCAGGCCACGGTCATCTCAAGACTGGACTACTGTAACGCCCTCTACATTGGCCTTCCTCTGTCGGTGATCTGGAAGCTCAAGTTGGTACAAAATGCAGCTGCTCAGCTTCTTGCGGGAATTCCGATGAGATGCCACATAACCCAATCTTACTACAGCTGCATTGGTTACCAATTGAGCCCCGGATCACTTTCAAAGTGATGGTACTCACGTTTAAGGCCTTGCATGGTCTGGGGCCGATGTATCTGAGGGACCGCCTCATCCCCTACCAACCCCAGAGATCCCTCCGTTCTGAGGACCAAGATCTATTGGAAGTCCCCAGTGTCAAGACCTTGCGTCTAACAGCAACCAGACGCAGAGCCTTCACAGCAGTGGCACCATCACTCTGGAATACTTTGCCACCTGAAGTCCGTGCCTTGCGGGACTTACCAGCTTTCCGCAGGGCATATAAGACATACCTGTTTTGGCAGGCTTTTAATGTTTGATATTGCTGTTTTTAAATTGCTTTTAAATTTTGTTAGATTTTAGCCATTCTTGTGAGCCGCTCCAAGTCCCAGGGGAGTGGCGGCATATAAGTTCAAATAATAAATAAATAAATTAGAAACCGACACTTTCTCATTACTTTATTTTCCAGATCACCAGACTGGGCCACAGCAACGTGTGGCACGGGATGGCTCGTAATATTATTATTATTATTATTATTATTATTATTATTAACTTTGTATTGTCGAAGGCTTTCATGGCTGGAATCACTAGGTTCTTGTGGGTTTTTTCGGGCTATAGGGCCATGTTCTAGAGGCATTTCTCCTGACGTTTCGCCTGCATCTATGGCAAGCATCCTCAGAGGTAGTGAGGTCTGTTGGAAATAGGACAATGGGTTTATATATCTGTGGAATGGCTGGGGTGGGGCAAAGAGCTCTTCCCTGCTAGAGCTAGGTGTGAATGTTTCAGCTGATCACCTTCATTAGCATTTGAAGGCCTGCCTGAGCCTGGGAAAATCTTTTGTTGAGAGGTGTTAAGATGTGCCTGGTTGTTTCCTCTCTGCTGTTTTGCTGTTGTAATTTTAGAGTTTTTTAATACTGGTAGCCAGATTTTGTTCATTTTCATGTTCTTCTTCCTTTCTGTTGAAATTGTCCACATGCTTGTGGATTTCAATTGCTTCTCTGTGTAGTCTGACATGGTGGTTGTTGGTGTGGTCCAGCATTTCTGTGTTCTCAAATAATATGCTGTGTCCAGGCTGGTTCATCAGGTGCTCTGCTATGGCTGACTTCTCTGGTTGAAGTAGTCTGCAGTGCCTTTCATGTTCCTTGATGCGTGTTTGGGCAATGCTGCGTTTGGTGGTCCCTATGTAGACTTGTCCACAGCTGCATGGTATATGGTAGACTCCTGCAGAGGTGAGAGGATCCCTCTTGTCCTTTGTTGAACGTAGCATTTGTTGGATTTTCTTGGTGGGTTTGTAGATTGTTTGTATGTTGTGTTTCCTCATCAGCTTCCCTATGCGGTCAGTGGTTCCCTTGATGTATGGCAGGAACACATTTCCTCTGGGTGGAAACAACCAGGCACATCTTAACACCTCTCAACAAAAGGTTTTCCCAGGCTCAGGCAGGCCTTCAAATGCTAATGAAGGTGATCAGCTGAAACATTCACACCTAGCTCCAGCAGGGAGGAGCTCCTTGCCCCACCCCAGCCATTCCACAGATATATAAACCCATTGTCCTAATTCCAACAGACCTCACTACCTCTGAGGATGCTTGCCATAGATGCAGGCGAAACGTCAGGAGAAATGCCTCTAGAACATGGCTCTATAGCCCGAAAAAACCCACAAGAACCTATATTAATTATTTGTACCCCGCTAGCATCTCCCGAAGGACTCGATGCGGCTTACATAGGCCAAGGCCTCAAAACACAACACAACAATACAACACCTAAAGCAAATTAAAAACAGTTAAAGCAATATTAACAACAAGCAATAAACAATACATCAAGACACTATAAAACTGGGCCGGGCCAGAGTAATGGGTACAAGATTAAAAGTGCTGATGTGACAGGAGGTATGTAGGATTATAAGGTAAGTGCCGTGTGCAGCAATCTTAGTTCTACTAAAGTGCTTCTGGGACTTGGTATTGGAGATTCCTAATCTGGAAAGGCACAATTTTGGTCTATTTTACGAAGCGGGCACACACGCCTAGGAAACTTCTTCTGTAGGTTTGTTTCCTTCTGCCTCTTTGTTTTTCCTCCTCCACTTCCGGCTACCTGCCGCAGGCTTTCTTTCTGGGAGGTGTAGTCTTCGGCTCCTTCTAGAGTCCCCGCCCCCTCCTACGGTCCCGCCTCCTATTGGCGGAGGCCTCGGCTGGCTCCTCCCCTTTCCCCCGCCCTCGGGACTACGCATCCCAGGCAACCCCGCTCGCGGCGGCGGCTGGTTGGCTGGCTGGCTGCTTGCTCGCTCGCTCTCTCGCAGCCTTGTTCTTCCCCTCAGCCTCCTCCGGCGGTGCTGTTCCTTCCCCAGCACCTACTGCCGCGCTCTCGTCTCCGCAGCCGGGCCGCCCCCGTCACGCGAGTCCCCGGCTTCGTTCGCGGCCTGCTTTGGAGCATGGCACGTCCGGCGGTGCCCAGCTCGGCGAAAGCGCTGCTCCTGGAGCTGAAGGGCCTTCAGGAGGAGCCCGTGGAGGGCTTCCGCGTCAGCCTGGTGGACGAAGGCGACCTCTACAACTGGGAGGTGGCCATCTTCGGACCCCCCAACACCCACTACCAGGGAGGCTACTTCAAGGCAAGCAGGCCCCGCACCCAGGGCTGGAGTGGATGATGATGATGATGATCAGGGAATATTATTTATTACCATTATATTACATAAGAATATTTATTATTATTATTATTATTAAGGAATATTATATTACATAGGAATATTTATTGTTATTATATTAGATAGGAACGTTTATTATTATATTACATAGGGATATTAGTATAATATTATTAAAGAATATATTTTATTATATATATATATAAAGAAAAAAATTACACACCTTTATATGTAACAAATTATTATATTGCATAGGAATATTTATTATTCTATTACATAGGAATTTTTGTTATTGTTATATCACATAAGAATATTTATTTATTCAAAGGTAAATTACACACCTTTCTTTAAAATATTTCTGTTATATTTATATTCGTTTATATACTTACATATACTTACATGTATATAATTATTATATTCTAAGGTAAATTAAACACACCTTGCTTTATTTCTGTTTGATTTATATTCTTATTATATTCAAAGCTAAAATATTATTAACTATATATTTAATATATTTATTTATATTCTTATATATTCATATATATTCTTATAATATATATATTCTTATAATATATATATTCTTATAATATATATATTCTTATTATATATATATATATATATATATATAGAGAGAGAGAGAGAGAGAGAGAGAGAGAGAGGATCCCCTGGTTGTGCTGGCAGGACTGCTGACCGAAAAGTCGATGGTTCGAATTCAAGTCCCATAGGCAAACCTCTCCATCACTGTTTATTTTTATCTCTCTTTTAAGTCTAGTCCCCTTTAGATGCTATTGTATAACCCCACTTCTGCTTTGAATCACATTATACTAATTCAGTGGTTCTCAACCTGTGGGTCCCAAAGTATTTTGGCCTATAACTCCCAAAAATCTCAGCCAGTTTACCAGCTGATAGGATTTCTGGGAGTTGAAGACCTAAACATCTAAAGACCCACAGATTGAGAACCACTGTACTAATTCCTAACCCACCCCTCCCATCTCATTTTCATAAAGACAAGACAAAAGCATGTTTACACCAATGATGAGTTTTGGGTCTTTATAATTCTAATCAATCCTATTGCGATGGGTCTATTATGAGTAACAAACATAAACACTAAAACAAAGCACCAAAACAACAGACTCTCGCCTGACCTCTTACTCACTGCCTGCTGACTTTTAATCAATTCCCTTTAAATGCGGTTGTAAAATCTCACATCTGCTTTGAATAACATTCTACAATTTCCCACAATAAACAAATACTAATTATCATATCTAGTGAATTAGTAAGTCCCAAATTTGCTGGTCATTAGGCAAGTATTTCTCCTTTGTTGACCTAGTTCGTTTGTCCAGATGCTACATCGGCTGTTATTATACTATATAACAAAACATTTGGGGAGGGGGCGGGAGCAGATATGGATCTGTTCTGGTTTGAATGTGTGATTTCCTGTTTAATTGTGTGGTCCTTACTTTGAAAAGAGTTGTTCTACTCCAGAAACTTTGTTTCCGTGGCTGCCACAACGTATGTTGAATTGGTTGAATCTCAGTGATATGTTCATTGTATAACTAGAGAATGCTTTGAGCCACTAGAGCAGGCATGGGCGAACTTCAGCCCTCCAGGTGTATTAGACTTCAACTCCCACAATTACTAGCAGCTGGAGGGCTGAAGTTTGACCATGCCTGCAGTAGTGGGATGGGTGTCCCTTCCAAACTGATGCCATTTGCCCTGGGGTTGATCTGAGCGGCCAGGAAGTCCGACCGGCTGGACGACCTGATGACGGGGCAAAAAAAACGCCGCTGGGGAGGTTCTCAGTCGCAACTTCACTTCTGGAGGTAGGAAAACAGGTCCCGGTGACTCACCTGACCCTATATACCTTGGTAGCCCAACTTGCAAGGCGGGTCCTGAGTGCACGCCTTGGGCAGACATTGGCCTGACCTCCTAACCTAGAGGAAGGCTCCTGAAATGGCATTGTTGTTGTTACGTTATTGTTATGGTTGTTGTTACCATTATCTATTTATATCTCCCCACCCAGTGTGCAATAATAACATGAAAGCACAGTGGGTCCTGCCAAAGGCATACTGTCTGCAGGTAGTCCTCAAGTTACAAACAGGATACGTTCTGTAGGTTTGTCCTTAAGCTGAATTTGTTTGTAAGTTGGAACAAGTACATTTTCTAAGTGTAACTCCAGCAATAAATAAATAAATCTATATGTGTGTGTGTCTGTGTATAGGATTGCATAGAGGAGGATGAACCCCCCCCCCCCCCGGTGGTGTTTGTGTTACTGTCTATTTGTTTGTAAGTCGAAACAAGTACATTTTCTAAGTGTAACTTCAGCCAAATTTATATATATATGCACATGTATATGCATATCTATATGTATATTTAGCTTAGGATCACATAGAGGAGGGTGAACACCCCTGTGGTGTTCGTGTTACCTTCTGTGCCCCTGTTCGGAAGATTTCACCTTACTTTCTGTCCCTGTGAGAATGGGAGTTTGGGAAATTTGGCTTGTTGTGGAAACAAGGATCGAGGATAAAGCTTCAGTGGAGACCCCTTTCCTCCCGATAATAACTCTTCCAGGAGTAAATTTCCCTTCTGGTAGGTAGATTTCTCTCACTTCCTGTTGCCTCAGCCCTGTTCTTCACTAGGAGTAATTTTTAAGTTAAATATGTCTAACTGTGGGACTGCCTGTGTGTGTATGTATATATGTGTGTGTATGTACACACACAAACATATGTATACAGTCTCTCTCTATACATACACACACACATATAGATTCATACACACATATATATGTCCGTCTGTCTCTCTACCACAAAGGCTGTTGCTAGGCAAAGTGGCCTCTATCGTGGCACTGTATTGGCTGTCATTAGGTGAAGTGCCCCTTTGTGATCTCACTGGGAAAGAAAGTTAATGTATGTACGAGGGGGAAGGAATGAAGGGGCCACAAAGAGCCATGGAGACATTGAGGCAGGCTCTCTCAAAGCTGGAGGACAGAGAAAGGAAACGGAAAGGGAAGAAAGTAAGAAAGAAAGATGAAGGGAGGGAAAGAAAGAACGGATGAAAGCAGAGCAACGCATTGCGTCATATCCACAAACAAGGCATCATTTTTAAAAACCATGAAATGTCCAGGGGAACCGGAAGAGATCTCCGGTGCTCCCTGTTGACCACGATCCCACATCTTCTCCTCTTGCTCCTCCCTCACAGGCTCGTCTCAGGTTCCCCATTGACTATCCATATTCACCGCCCGCCTTCAGGTTCCTGACCAAAATGTGGCATCCGAACATATACGAGGTAAGCTGGTTGGAGGGGAGCCTTAGTCCCGCTCTGTTCTGCTTTGGTCAGACCTTCCCACTTGGAATAACCTTGTGTGCAAAACAATTCAGGAGGGAGATGGACAAATGGAGCATACACCATTTCCGATGCAGGCCATCGTTTCTACAGCCCCCCCCCCCCCCACATTTTATATTAGACACTGGCCTAATCCTATTTTTACAGGAAGGTTGTCCAATCCACAGAATCATAGGTACCTAGAGTGCCCACTCTGAGAACACGCACTGAAATCCCTCCTGACAGATGTCTGTTCAGTTTCCAGCTGTTGTTCAGTGTGTCAGAATGTCTCCTGTTTTGTCTTTCAGACAGGAGATGTTTGCATCTCCATCCTGCATCCTCCGGTGGATGACCCACAGAGCGGAGAACTGCCTTCAGAAAGGTGGAATCCCACCCAAAATGTCCGGTAAGGCCTCTTTACCCTTTCCTTTTCCTCCCTGGACTCACAGGGGCAGGGAGTGAAGGGGTTTGCCCACAAATTACTCATTGAGTAAGGGGCAATAATCATCATTATCATCCTCTTTATTTATAATAACAATAATAACTTTATTTATATTCCGCCCTATTTCCCCAGGGTGATTCAAGGCAGATTCCAACAGACAAAAAAGGCAAACATTAAATGCCTCAATAAAACATACAAGTGCTAATGAGTAATCCGAAATATCCCCACATATGAAAACATTAGAACCTGACATCAATAAATTAAACAAAACGTAATCAAAACTATATAATGGCATAAAACCTAAACAGTAAAACATCTGCATTGATTTACAAGAACCAACCAAAGTTCACAAAATCATGTAGGTTGATTGTGAGGCCAGTGATGACAGTGATGGATCAACATGCACTAATGGAGCCCCAATACAACAATTGCGACCGAAGGTCCAGAAATGATTTTTCATTATCTAATCCTCCTCTCTGAAGCTAATGAGTCTTCAGTTGGTTCTGAAGGAGAGGGGGGAGGGGGCCATCTTTTTTTCTTTAGGGAAGGAGTTCCAGAGGTGGGGGGTGATCATAGAGAAGGCCCTTTCTCTCCTGTTCCCGCCAAGCATACTTGATTTGGGGGTGGGACCGAGAGCAGGGCCTCCTCCGCTGACCACAGTGCCCAAGCTAGTTTGTTAGAGATACGATGGGTCAAATAGCCCGGACCTGAGCCTTTTAGGGCTTTAAAGATAATGACCAACACTTTGTTTTTGCCCGGAAGCAAACCAGAGGCCATACCCTGCCATCATCTTCCAAAGGGACTTGGGGCGGCTTACAAGTACACAGTGATGCTGTACAACATATAAAATACAATATAACAACATTAAAACCAACAACACTTTTAAAACCAAACATATAAAACCAACGAGCAATAAAATCAATGAAATAAGGCAATAGTTGTTCATTAAAAGATCCATACACTCAATTTAGCCTTCCCTGATTAAAGATTGTAGTCTGGCTACTATCTTAAACATTATCAAAAGCCTGCAGAAAGAGCCAAGTTTTTAGCTCTTTCGAAAGTGCTTCAGTGTGGGGGCTTGCCTAAGTTCCCTGGGGAGGGGGCATTCCAGAGCTGGGCAGCCACCATCTCTCTCGTCCCCACCAACCGCGCTTCAGACAGAGGCGGGACTGAGAGAAGGGCTTCTGCGGCAGATCTCTGCACCTGGGCTGGTTCATAGCGGGAGATGCAATCACAAAGATAGGCTGGACCAGAAATGTGTAGGGCTTTATAGATGATAACCTGCACTTTGCATTGGGCCTGGACACTTATTGGCAGCTTGTGGAGCTGCTTCAATAGGGGTATGGTGTGCTCCCTATAGCTAGCTCCAGTTAGTAACCTGGCTGCCGATCTTTGTACCAATTGCAAATTCCGTGCCATCTTCAAAGGCAACCCCATGTAGAGTGCATTTTAGTAATCCATTCTAGATGTAACTAAGGCATGGACCACCATGGTCAAGACAGGCTTTTCAAGGTATGGTCGCAGCTGGCGCACAAGTTTTAACTGTACAAAGGCCCTTCCGGCCACCAATGACATCTGAGCGTCAAGCGTCAGCGCTGAGTCCAGGAGAAGCCCCAGACTTCGGACCTGTGTCCTCAGGGGGAGTGTAACTCCATCAAGCACAGCTTGCCATCCTATATCCCGATCGACCTCAAGACTGACCAGGGCCGCCTCTGTCTTGTCTGGATTAAGCTTCAATTCATTAGCCCTCATCCAGTCCATTACAGTTGCCAGGCACTGGTCCAGGATCCGGGGAACTTACTTGGATTTAGGTGGAAAAGAGTGGTAGAGTTGTGTGTCATCTGCATAGAGATGTCACCTAACTCCAAAACTCCGAATGACCTCACCCATCGGCTTCAGGCCTCTCCTGGGCCTGAAATAGCCTTAGATTTTATGAGCTCATGTATACATGGGAAGAGAACATCAAGGCCTCTTCAACCTGTGTGTCTCCAACTCCCAGGAACCCCTATTGCCACCTTGTCCAATGGTCAGAACTTCTGGGTGTTGAAGGCCGCAGGTTGAATTGCTCTGCCTTAAAGCCTTTGTAGCGCTTATGGTGGCAGTCCAGCTGATGACTCCTTTGGACCCCTTTGTTCTCAGGACCATCCTCCTCAGCGTGATCTCGCTCCTCAACGAGCCTAACACCTTTTCCCCAGCAAACGTTGACGCTTCTGTCATGTACCGCAAGTGGAAGGAGAGCAAAGGAAAGGACCAGGAATACACGGACATCATTAGGTCGGTATTTCCAGCTTGTTCAGTGGTCACAGATTCTGGGAGTTGGAGGCCCAAATGGCTGGAGGACCTCAGTTTCAGGAGGGCTGTTGGAGGCCTTTGAGGTATTTCCAGGTTATTGTATAACCTCCCTCGCATGGGGTATTGAGGCAGGATTGGCTGAGTAGAGCCGTACCTTTGCCTTCCACTGGGATTGAGAGAGTGCAGCTTGTCCAGAGTCATCCAGTGGACCTAGTTGAGGTCTTAATTGAGGTCTATGATTTTGTACATGTGAAATTAAAGGCAGGGACAAATATACAAAAACAGCTGAAATCTTCTCCTTGAAGGCATTAAGGCATGCTAGGCTAGGGCTTCTGGGAGTTGGAGGGCCAAATACCTGGAGAGTCAAAGGTTGAAGAGGCCTGTTCCTGGTTTGAGTTATTTCCTGTTTAATTGTGCGGCCCTACCTTTTAAAGTAGTTGATCTTCGTTTTTGCAGCTGCCACAAATTAGGTTGAATTGGTTGAGACTTGATGAGATATTCATTGATGTCCACAAAAACAAAGTTTGGGCAGTTTAATACACTTTTCCCATGTTTTTATGATCAAACCAATTAGGAAATGGTGTTTGTAACTCAGGAACAAAAATCGTGTTACATAGTGTAATAATAGTTGACCCCAAGGCCTTTCTGGACTTCTACTTCTTAGTATCCTGTTTTTACTATTTAAAAATCTTCTAATTTGATCCCATTTTATTTAATTTTATTTAATTATTATTTAATTAACTTGGGTACCTGGCGTTGCCCGGTACCCAAGGTAATTAAGAAGTCAATTTGTTTATTTTACAAAATGCATAAGGTTGTGGGTGAACTACAACTCACATCATGCCAGGTTAACCCCCTGAAACTCCATCAATACAAAGTTTGTCATGTTGAGAAAGTTTGCTCTAGATGCACTATCGGTGGAGTCCATGTGCTCTCTAGCTGTAGGGCAAACTATAACTCTCAGCATGGTGAGCCAGTCCCCTCAAACCCCTACAATAGGTTCAGTGGGTCATTGCGGTTGTGTGTGCCAAGTTTGGTCCCGGTCTGTTGTCAGTGGTGCTCACAGTGTCCCTGGATGTAGGTGAACTATAACTCCCAGATTTAAAAGTCAGTTTCTCTCAACCCTCTCCAATATGTTTAGTTGGTTGTGGGGGTCCTTTGTGCCAAATTTGAGTCAGGTCCATCATTGGTGGGGGTCACAGTTTCTCTGTTAGTAGGTGAATTACAACTTCCAAAACTCAAGGCCAGTCTCTCCCAAACCCCTCCAGTAATCAAATGGTATTCCAATTTGGGCATATCAGGTGTGTGTGCTGAGTTTCATCTGGATCCATCATTGTTTGGGTTCACAGTGCTCTCTGGGTGTAGGTGAACTACAACTCCTATAAATCCACCCAAAGACTCTTTGTTGGTCATGAGGGTTCTGTGTCCTAAGTTAGTTCCAGGTCCATCATTGGTGGAGTTCAGAGTGCTCTTAGATTGCAGGTGAGCTATAAATCCCAGTACCTACAACTCCTAGAAATAAAGATGAATTCCTCCCAAACTTCTCCAGTATTTTGCATTTCTCATGCGGGTTCTGTATGCCAAATGTGGTCCAGGTCTATTGTCAGTGGGGGTCACAGTGGTGTGTCTTGATGTAGAGTGACCTACAACCTCTGTCATGTTGAGCCAGTTCCCCAAACCCCTCCAGTATGTTCAGTTACTGATCAATTCCTCTGTTTGCTGTGCGCCATAGGAAAGAATAGGAAAGGGTTATGGGACAGGCAGCGGGCGGGATCATGCAAATTCCACACCAGTGGAGAGAGGAACAAACACTGGAATGTCTGTGGTGGAGGAAACACATACAATCTAGGTGGAAATTGTCCCCGTATGAAAACCTTCACTTGGGTGGTGGGCAGTATGGCATTTGTGGAGGACATTGGCAGGGCTCTAGGACATGTTCACGGCACTCACTACAACTTGCAATATCATTGGAGGGAGGGCCATTAGTGTCTCCTGAGTAGCTGTTTGAGGAGGTGGGAGCTTGTCTGTGTAAGTGGACACCCCAGCCAGATACAGATACATATTTTCACTTTTATTTTGTGTATAGATTAATCAAGTATTATTGTGTTTTAATTTATTTTGGTTAACTATTACTGAAGTTTTAGCATAGTAATTAAGGTCTATTTGTCCGTGTACCTTTGTTTTTGTCTTTCATTGTTGATATGGTCAGTGGACTCATGAAAAAACAGATTTGAAATTTATAAAAAGGCGACTCAAGGCAGCTCACAATGAAACCAACACAATACAGTTTAAAACCTATGGTGTACAAACATGTCAAATAGAGTTAAGCATGAACAGTATTAAAAATAAGACAGCTAAAATCAATTTAAAAACTATTCATAGCTAGAACGTTCATGGGTCGATAGAGGTATGTTTTGTACGGGAGAGGAGATGGTCAACTGAGTACACCACCACCACCCTCGCCCTCCTGCATTTGACCCCGAGAAGCCAGAAGGATGCTGAAACTCTCTTGTATTAACATTGGATTCGGAGTCATTTGAACTTGAGAGTCAGTCCCAATTGCAATGCCATTTCCCTTCTTTCTTCCTTCTTTCTGTAGTTCGTTAAGTGACTGAACCCAAAGGCTGCTCACTAATGGTTCCACTTCATCCTGGAAAGAAGTGACAAGTGGAGTGCCATAAGCAGGGTTTGGTCTTGGCCCCGGTTCTGTTCAACATCTTTATTAATGACTTTGATGAAGGTTTAGGGGGCATGCTTCTCAAGTTTGCAGATTACACCAAATTAGGAGGGAGAACTAATACTCCAGAGGACAAGATCAGGATGCAAAAGGACCTCAACAAATTAGAGACCTGATTGGCCAAAACTAACAATATGAATTTTAACAAGGACAAACGTAAGATACGACACTTAGGCAGAAAAATGAAATGCAAAGGCACAGAATGGGGGACTCCTGACTCAACAACAGTCCCTGTGAGAAAGATCTTAGAGTCCTTGTTGACAGGAAGTTGAACATGAGCCAAGAGTGTGATGCAGCAGCTAAGAAAGGCAAAGGGGTATAGTGTCTAGTTTGAGGGAAGTCATGGTGCCTCTCTATTCGGCTTTGGTCAGACCTATTTTCCTGGAATACTGTTCCAATTCTGGACACTATAGTTAAAAATAGATAAAGATGTTCAGAGGAGGACAACTAGAATGATGAAGGTCTGGAGACCATGAACCCCTATGAGGAACTGGGTGTGTTTAACCTGCAGAAGAGAAGGTTGAGAGGAGACATGATCGCCATGCATAAATATGTGAAAGGATGGCATAAGGAAGAGGGAGCGGGCTTGTTTTCAATGGACTCAATGTAGCCATGTGTTCAAATGACAGGAAAGTGATTCCACCTGAACATGAGGCGGAACTTCCTGACTATAAGAGCTATTGAGCAGTGGAACTCTCTGCCTCAGCATCTGGTGGAAGCTCCTTCCTTGAAAGCTTTTTAAAGTACCATCTGTCAGGAGTACTTTGATTCTGCTTTTCCTGCATAGTAGAAGGGGGTTGGACTAGATGACCCATGTGCTCTCTTCCAACTCTAGTGTTCTATTATTCTTTCCCGGCAGGAAGCAAGTGCTGGGCACAAAGGCAGAGGCCGAGCGGGATGGCGTCAAGGTCCCCACCACGCTGGCAGAATATTGCGTCAAGACCAAGACCCCGGCGCCAGACGAGGGCTCGGACCTCTTCTATGACGACTACTATGAGGACGACGAGATGGACGACGAGGTGGACAGCTGCTATGGCGACGAAGATGATTCCGGCAATGAGGAGTCTTGACAAGGAGGACCCCCTTCCTTGCCCCTTTCCTCCTTCCCCCCATTCCCTTTTGCCCCCTTCCAACGCTGCCTCCTCCTCCTGCTGCTGCTGCTCCTGATAGTAGCAATAAACTATCTGACTCTTTTACTTGAACCCAGGATGGATCCGGCTGAGGCTTTGGAACCCCTGTTTGCCCCGAATTGAAATGAGAGAGAATGAGAGAGAGAGAGAGAGAGAGAACTCTACCTCAAAAAGGGAGACTTGGTTTCTGCTTGAAGTGGCTGGGATGGGGAGGGAGGGATTCTTTCTTTTTTAGGGGGATAGATTGACCATTTGGCTTTTGGTTTAGCGTTTGTTTTGTGTTTTGTGCAGAGGAGGAGGAGTTAATCATAGGGATTTTTGAGAGGGATTGTTGATTCCCCAGGTGTTTCATTCTTGGTCGCATTGAGACGAAGCACCAAGACGCAGCACTGGGTGTTTTGAACGTTTTTGCTTCCATTTATTTTTAAAAAAACATTTATTACACTATAAGACTTTGATTCTGAATGAGGGGCATCTGAGCTTGCGGATGGAAAGGCACTAAGAGAACCAGAGCACCCCTCCTTCCATTAATTGGTGTTTTCCCTTTTTTTTAGAAATGTGGGAATTACAGAGTCCGGTTCCCCACTCAGCCACTGGGAGGCACTGCTTGGCCGTCTTTCCACTGCATTGTCTTTTCACTTTGGGAATGTTTGCGTCCCCTTCAGAATGACAGGAAATGGAGATATTTTTTTTGCGAACATGGGGGGGGGGGTGCCTTTTCTTTGTAACAATCGTTTTGGGGGGTTTATTTTGCTTTTGTGGTTTTGTTCCGTGTTTCGGGGGAGTTTGGGGTTTAATTTGTTTCTCCCTCTTGGTTTTGAAGCTATTTAATAAAAAGGACTTTGAAAGGAAAGTGCCTTTTGGGGTGGCAGCCTCGCAAACAGCTTGCTTGTGAAGTCTGACTTCAAAAAGTGGTGGGAAAGTTACTTTTCTGAATGGCTTTGAAGTCCCAAAACATAGATTGGGCTGCGGAGAGCAGCCTGGTCCATGGACCGTACTTTTTGTGTTTGATATGTTCTTGATCTTAATCTCCGATGGTGTACTACAGCTATTTAACCTCAGCAGACTGAAAGCCAAAACCAAGTTCACAATAACATCTGTTATAGAACTCCAGGATGCTGATGATAGATAGCATAGTCTGTACACATTCAGAAGAAGACCTACAAGCCATTCTAAACACCTTTGCAGAAGCATACGAGAAGCTTGGCCTCTCATTGAACATCAAGAAAACCAAAGTGCTTTTCCAGTAGTCACCAGCCAATCCCTCTGCAATGCCAGAAATACAGCTGAATGGTGTAATGTTAGAAAATGTTGACCATTTCCGCTACCTTGGCAGCCACCTCTCCACAAAAGTCAACAGTGACACTGAAATACAACACTGCCTGAGATCTGCGATTGCAGCATTTTTCCGAAGGAAGCAGAGAGTGCTTGAGGATTGGGACACCCGTAGGGAGACCAAGGTGCTTGCTTATAAAGCTTGTTGTCCTCCCAACTCTGTTATATGCCTGTGAAACGTGGACTGTCTACAGATGTCACACTCAACTCCTGGAACAATTCCTTCAGCATTGCCTCCGAAAAATCCTGCAAATCTCTTGGGAAGACAGGCGGACAAATGTCAGCATGCTGGAAGAAGCAAAGACCACCAGCATTGAAGCGATGCTCTTACGCCATCAACTCCACTGCTGGTCACGTTATCCGAATGTCCGATCACCGTCTCCCAAAGCGGTTACTATACTACCAACTTAAGAATGGAAAACAGAATGATGTTGGACAGGAAAAGAGATTGAAAGGTGGGATTAAAGCTAACCTTAAAAACTGGCATTGACACTGAAAAGTGAAGCCCTGGCCCTTGAGCGCTCTGACTGGAGGTCAACTGTGACCAGCAGTGCTGTGGTATTTGAAAAGACACAAATGGAGGGTGAAAGGGAGAAATGTGCCAAGAGGAAGAAGGCATATCAAGCCAACCTTGACCAGGACTGCCTTCCACCTGGAAACCGATGCCCTCATTATGGAAGAACATGCGGGTCAAAAATAGGGCTCGACAATCACCAATGTATCCAATGCCCAGACACTACACTTACCTTTTTATTTATTTATTTGGAGTGCTTCTACCCTGCCCTTCTCAACCCCCTAGGGGGGACTCAGGGCGGCTTACAAAAGGCACAATTCGATGCTCAACAATTCACAAAATACAATATACAATTTACAATATAACGACGACAGTTATAACTAATTAAAACAGTCAAATTAAAACAACAAGAGCAATAAAATCATCTTGTGGTCAACGTTCATCAATTCATAAATCCATAATCCATCTAGCAATGTCATTGTCCTTTCTTACTCTGGTCGTCATTGTCTTTTATCCATCTGCCAGCTTACCCAAAGGCCACTTGGAAGGCCATCATACCCAGACAACGAAGGATCGCCTAAGTAAGTACAGCTCCTATCATCCTCAGCCTGTGTGGCCTTATGGTTGGCGTAAACTGTTCATACAGACGTATCGATACAAAGGTATAATCCCGTTCTAACTTGTAACAACTCCCTCTCTTCATAATTTTCCAGAGTGGAGATAAATTTGCTCAGGGCCAGATTAAGGTCAAAGGTGTAAAAGAGTTCCTAAAAACCAGTGGGGGCCTCAGAGGGTATCTGGTCCAACCCTGATGGAGGGCCATCCCATTCTTCTAACGGCCACAAGGAAATGGCAAACAAATAGACTTGGCCAGGCTTTGTATTGTGAAAAATAGATATTTAAAAGTATATAAACATATAATTTGTATAATTTATAACAAATATTAATACAGAATACAAATATTAAGGGTTGGCTTTAGCCTGCAGCTAAATTATATATTTTACAGACATATATATTATATTAATAATATGTATTATATATATATATAATTATAATGCTATATTATATAAAATATATAATTTAGCTGCAAGCTAAAGCTGACTCTTAATATGTATGAGTTTAAACTTTTGCAGATGATATGATAGTCTGCTTTCCTTTTCTAAAGTGGCTGCGGTCTCTTTAAGAATCTGAGTCCTCTAGTGCTATTTACATAAGTAGGTGGGGCTCGTAGTTAGCTCGCACGTTTCATTGGTTTTGGGTAACGCCAGTCGTGAGAATCGGCGCCGCGATTGGCCAGTGCCCGTGCTTGACGTAGATGGCAGCGACCGCCTCTTGTGTGTGTGTACGTGACCTGGTGTAGTAGCCTGTGATGCCTTGAGGGAGTGACTTTGGTTTCCGGCCCGTCCTGCCTCCTTTAATCTTTCCTATAGGTGGCTAGCTTGTCGATCAAAGGCCCTTTGAAGCCCCGCCTCCCACCGGGCAGGCTAAAGTATCTGATTGGCTGAGATTTTTGACGTCACCCTCTCCCCCTTCTTGCCGTCCTCAACCGTCCTTCCTCACGTGCAATCGGATTGGCCCGCTTTCTCGAGCGGTGGAGCCAATAGCGGCGCCTTTCGGGGCTCGCGCCCGTCGGCCATTGGCTCTTCCTCGGTTTCTCCGCCTCCGGGGGGGTTACCAGGCGTCCGCCATTCCTGAGGAGAGGAGCAGAGCGACGGAGCGGCAGAAGCAGCGGGAGCCATGAGGGCGATGGTGGCGAGAAGGCTGGTGCTGGCCTTGGGCGCCTGGCTCTGCTGTGCGAGCGGCGCCTCGGCCGCGGGTAAGACGTCCAGGCAGGGAAGGAAGGAAGGAGGCGCCGAGGCGGAAGGGCTTCCATTCCTGAAGGGAAATATAAGGCTTCGAGGGGACATTTCATATTCTGAGGGGAAATTAAATATTCTGAGGGGGAAATTTCATATTCTGAGGGGGGGGGGGGGGAGTAATTTTCGGAGAGAAAATTTCATATCCTGAGGGGAAATTTCATATTCTGAAGGTGAAATATAATTGTCTGAGGGGAAATTTCGTACTATGAGGGGAGAATTTAAAATTCTGAGAGGACATTTCGTATTCTGTGAGGGGATTTCATCTTCTGAAGTTGAAATATAATTATCTGAGAAGAAATTTCATATCTTGAGGGGGGAAAAAATTATATTCTGAGAGGAACATTTCATATTAAGAAGTTGGAATATAATTTTCTGAGGGGGAATTTCATATTCTGAAGTGAAAATGTAGTAACCTGAGAAGAAATGTCATATCCTAAGGGGGAAATTTCATATTCTGAAGGGAAATTTTATATTCTGAGAGGGAAATTTCATATCCGGGGGTGGGGATTTCATATTCTGAAGGCAAGGCCTCTTTAAATTGGGTTTCAAAATCCTCAAATAAAAGGATCTTTGCTCCGATAGCAACATTTAAATAAAAGGATTTTCCCCAGATTTCCTCCATATTCACATACATATACAGGCGTTCCCTGTATTACAAACATCCGACTTACAGTTAAGAACAAGGGTGAGACAAGAAGTGAGAGAATCTACCCCTTGGAAGGGGAAGCCACTTCTGAAAGAATTATCAGGGGGAAAAGGGGTCTCCACTGAATCTTTAGCACCAATCCTTGTTTCCACGTCAAGCCAAATTATCAAAAATCCAATCATCACAGGGACGGGAAGTGAGGTGAAATCTACTGAACAAGGGCACAGACAGAAGGATAACCCCACCTGAGAAGGGATTTCATATCCTGTGGGGAAAATTCTATTCTGAGAAGGAAATTTCATATTTTGAGGGGGGAAGGCAATATTCTGAGAGGGAAATTTAATGTCCTTGGGGGGAAATTTAATATTTTGTGGCAGGAAATTAAATATTTTGAGAAAAAAATAATATCCTCAGGGGGAAATTTCATATTCTGAGAGGAAAGTTCTTATTCTGAGAAAAAAAAATTAAATATCCTGAGATGGAAATTTCATATCTGAGGGGAAAAAGTAATACCTCAAGGGGGAAATTTCTATCCCGAGGGGCAATTTCATATTCTGAGTGGGGGAGGTAATACTCTGAGAGAAAATTAAATATCCTGAGAGGAAAATTCCATATTCTGAAGGTGAAATATAATTATCTGATAATCGATTTTATACCATGACGGGAAATTTTAAAATTCTGTGAGGAATTTTTGTATTCTGAGGGGTGGAGGGGATTTCATATTCTGTAAGCGAAATATAATTATCTGAGAAGAAATTTTGTATCCTGAAGGGGAAATTTTATATACTGAGGGCTAATTTTAAATTCTGTAGGTAAATTTAAAATTCCAAGAGGAAATGTCTTATTTTGAGGGGAAATGTCATATTTTGAAAGTGAACTATAATTATCTGGGGGGAAATTTCATATCCTGACGGGAAAAATATAATTATTTGAGAAGAGATTTCATATCCTGAGTGGGAAATTTCATATTCTGAGGGTAAATCTAAAATTCTGAGAGGAAAATTCTATTTTCTGAGGTGGAAATTTCTTATCCTGAAGGCAAAATATAATTATCTGATAATAGATTACATATCCTGAGGGGAAATTTCTTATCCATAGGCAAAATCCTGAGAGCTAATTTGAAATTCTGACAGGAAATGTAATATCCTGAAAGGATATTTCCTCAGAAGAAACCTCATTTTTCTGAGGGAAAACTTCCTCAGGTGAAGCTTGAGGATCTGAAGTGAAATTCAGATTCTTTAGAGCAAATTTCTGAGGGGGATCTTCAGTCTCTGAAAAGTTTTCATTTCTAAGGGGAAATTCAGGAAATTCACTATTTGGAGGGGACATTTCCTCAGGGTCTTTATGTCATTGGGAAGTGAAACGGAAGACGGATTTTTATATATATATTAAACTCGCTGGATTCGTATTACGAAGAAAGGATTCACAGAAGGGCGTCCATTTAGCAACATTTAAATAAAAGGATTTTCCCCAGATTTCACCAGGGAAGATGGGGCCTCCATATTCACATACATATACAGGCATTTCCTGTATTACAAACATTCAACTTACAGTTAAGAACAAGGGTGAGACAACAAGAAGTGAGAGAAATCTACCCCTTGGAAGGGAAATCCATTTCTGAAAGAATTATCAAGGGGAAAAGGTGTCTCCACTGAATCTTTAGCACCAATCCTTGTTTCCACGTCAAGCCAAATTACCAAAAATCCAATCATCACAGGGACGGGAAGTGAGGTGAAATTACTGAACAAGGGCACAGACAGAAAGATAACCCCACAGGGTGTTAACCCTTCCCTATGCTATCCAGAGCTAAAGGATATATATGGATGTGGAGTTAAAAATGTTCCTTTTCAGACTTGCATACAAATTCAATTTAAGAAGAAACCTACAGAACCTATCCTGTTCATAACTTGGGGACTGCCTGTATAGCATAATACTTAATACAGCCAGCCCTCCATAGCCATGGACTTTGCACCCACAGATTCTGCTGAAGAATTTTTTCTTAAAAAAAACCACACAATCAGAGACTTTGGAAGAAACCCCAAGGGCCATCCAGCCCAACTCCATCCTTACATGCAGGAAGACCGAATCAAAACAGTCCTGACAGATGACCATTCAGCTTCTGCTGAAAAGCCTTCAGAGAAGTAGACTCCACCGACACCAAGAAGGCATATTCCACTGCCGAACAGTTCTTCCCATCAGGAAGTTCTTCCTAATGTTGAGGTGGAATCCCTCTTCCTGGGGAGATTCCAGTCTTAGAACTGGGAGCAGGTAGCGGGAATGAGAGCACCGCTGTCCTGTGCTGTGCTTTTTGGGCAAAGTAAGTAGGGTCTTGTAACTGGAATAATGAAGGGAGTGAGGATGAGAAGGCTGCCCTATAATATGATGTGGGCTAAGCAGAGCAGTAGGAAGAGAGAGCTGTTTCATAATGAGAGGAGTGGGAGAACAACAGGATAAAACAGCCCTGCAATGCATTATGGGACAGGGATTGATCATACAGCTAAGGGGAGTCACTGTTTTACAAGCCTTAGTCATAGAATCATATAACCCTAGAGTTGGAAGAGACCCCCAAAGACATCCAGTCCACCGCCCTTCTGCCATGCAGAAACACACAACCAAAGCACTCCCAGCCGATGGCCATCCAGCCTCTGCTTCAAAACCTCGAGAGAAGGAGACTCCACTGGATTTCCAGGCAGCATATTCCACAAACGGTTCTTACTGTCAGGATGTTCTTCCTAATGTTGAGATGGAATCTCTTTTCCTATAGTTTGAAGCCATTTCTCCATTGTATCCAGCAGAAGAACAAGCCTACTCCATCCTTAATGTAATATCCTTTCAAATATTTAAACATGGCTCTCATGTCTTCTCTCAGCCTTTTTTGCTCCATATAGCTAAGCATGCTCATACTGCCTGGATTGTGATAATAAGGATCAGGCAGATACCCGAAGTATTCTTTGCTTTGAAGAATCTACAGTCTAAATATCAATCCTTTGGAGATGGAAATACAAATACATGTAAAGCATTTGTAATAATAATGGAAGATAAGCCCTCAGTATCATCTCTATTATAATCAGTGTGGTAAACAGAGGATTCTTGTGTTGCAGAAATCTCTTAATAGGTGGGCTGCGGGGGAGGGGGGTGGAGGCAGCAGCACATCACTTTGGCATGTGTAGAAACATGCATTACGCACATGCCCTTTATGTAATCCTTGTTGTGAGTGGGCCACCCTGAGAGGGAGAGGGGGACGTGCTAGATTGGCTCTGATTGCTGCAAGCCTCTCCTGGCTTGCACTCTGCTTTGTGTACTAATGAATAGCAGTTTGGTGATTTGAAAGAAAGGCAAGGCTTGCTCCGATAGGGAGGCCATGAGGGGACAGTGGGCACTCAGATTCGCCTGGGCTCTTCCTTTGGGGATCCTAGTTCTGCCCGTCATTCCTGCTACATCCTGAGTTTTGCTTCTTATGGATGCTTACATTATTTCATTGTGGACTCATGTGATGGAATCCTCCTTCATAAGAGAACCTTTGAAAAAAAAAGGAAGGGATGCATAGTCCCAGATTTTGGACAGAAAGAACATTGTGGGAGCAGGGGTTAAAGAGACCAGTGTTGGGGAGTTAGATTTCCCTTCAGTTGTAATAAATCTATATAAATAAAAATGTAATGTTCATTTGTGGGATAAACATAACTCAAAAACCACTAGACGAATTGACACCAAATTTGGATGCTACACCTCTAACCGACCAACGAGTGACCATCACTCATAACCTCCCCCTTCAAAAAGCGGAAAGGACTTAAAACCCCAAAAAGCTAAATGACTATACAGAAAAAAGGGAAGGAAGTAAAGAGAGAGGGAAGGAAGGAGTGCAAGAAAGAAAGAAAGAAAGAAAGAAAGAAAGAAAGAAGGAGAGAAAGAGAGAGGGAAAGAGAGAAGGAAGAGAAGGAAGAAAGCAGAGAAAGTAGGAGGGAAAGAAAAAGGGGGGAGGAAGGAAAGAGGTAGAGAAGGAAGGAAGGAGAGAATGAAAGAAAGGGAAGGAAGGAAGGAAAGAGGGATCAAAGGAAGGAGGGAAAGAAGAAGAGAAAGAGAGGGAAGGTTGGCCACAGCAACGCGTGGCAGGTACAGCTAGTAAATAAATAAATAGGCAACCCTTGATGTGCTGTGTTATATAAAGGACACCATTTTGCTCTGCCTTCAAAAGCAAGGTGAGATTTTATTGTGCACTATCTTAGGTACCCGGCAATGCCCGGGTTAGGTAATTTGTAACAATAAACATGATAAAAAGCCATTGTTTGTTTTTGGATTTCCATTAAAAACGCA